TTCGTGAGTGCGGTCTGCTGGCTTCGAGAGCGGTGCCTGCTGCGTGGCTTAGTACACTTAATTTTATAATAGCACCAAAGCAGCAAGAAACAACACCGGCCTGCTAGCGCGTGTAAGTCGTGTCAGCACGGAGGGAGACAACTGGAGTTGTGTGAAAGAGACCTGCGATTTGGCAGAGACGGGCTGGTCGAATGGTCACCAAGGTTTTGAATTTGTTAACAGATTAGGGCAAGTATTCACGCGACGTGATCTACACAGAGCATGGCAGGCGTTTTTAGGTCCACACCACACGCATGGCCAGCGAGGGTGCTGTCGGAGGGCGTTCAGTCGACTTTCACACTCATCTCGAATGTTCTCCGTGTGAGCCTGGGAACGTTCGGGCGCGAGCGCATTGTTTTCCGAAAAACTCAGTGTAGTCTCTAAAATGGTATAAGAATATCACTGATTTGTGACGTGTTGGCAGGACCATGCCGGAAAATGTACGTACCAATTGGGAACAAATTGGTTTCAAATTTTGATCTCCAGCTTGCCGTAGGATCCAAATTTAGTCCGAAAAAAGACGCGGTAGAACACACTACGTCGAATGAGGCTTTAATTGACAGAAAGCATTGATAGTGAGCTCAAAAAACAGTTCAAAAAACCAAAGTTTTGGGGATTTTTTTGCTTTTATTCGGTGGCTTGGGGGTCTCGTGTCAGAAACCATTTGGTTCAAATCTAAAGCTAAAAAGTTTTGCCAAATCTACTTTTGTGGAATTTAGTTTTTATGGCAGTATATTAACGGTCCACGACACTTCAAGCGCGTGGGCTTTGACCCTCAAAAAAATGCCTCCCTGAAACATGATGTACCGATCAGCTGACTAGTCTGGGGTGCTTTTTGGTCCTCTAAAGATAACTTAATGATAAGTTCAATGCACCAAAATGCATCAGAAAGGGATAAAAACGTATCTTTAGTGGTGCATTTTGGTCAAGCGGTTTTTTGGCTATAAATCTTTAACTATCAACCGCAGAGGGGGTGGGCTCGAGTTAAGAGGAGGCCAATGAATGCAGCTGTCGTGTCCAAGCCCAACATAGCCAAATTTAGGAGATTTTGAACGACAAGGAGATGTTTTGTGAGGGATCATTCTAAACCAGGTAGTGTTTTTACTTTTCCGTTGTGGATAATTTGGTGTCAAAAGATTCTGATGATATGAAGTCGCTACTTTTTCAGGAGAATGGAGATATAGTTAGGTTGATATTTCGGTAACATGCCGTCATCGAAACAGATAGCAGAGGTCACTCATAGCATAAGTCACTGTTGTTGTTTCGATAAAGGCTTGCTGCCGAAGTATCAACCTAGCTATATCTCCATTCTCCCTGGTTTTTCCAACGAATAAGGCTAATACTACTGTCTTATCTATGTGAATAATGTTCCTCGCTAATGCATTGACCTTAAAAAGACTTGTATAGGTCAATGCACTAATGCACTGAGCAGCTACGCAAGTTGGGGTATTTAGAAAGCACGTTGAGCCCAGCGAGTTTGATTTTTAATATTTGAAAATGTTCTTTTTTGACAAGCTGCTCACAGGGTGTGACGCGTACAGCATGCCAATTAAGTTGTGACTTAATGAGCTATGACAAATGAACACGGCATTTGCGCTGTGCTCTTACTAGCGGGTCGGTTTGCTTCATTACGAAACAGAATAAAAGTAGTATAGGGAGAAGATTACAAAAACAGTGCAATCGAAGAAATCGCAGCATAGGGGCGCCACGGTGACGAAAAGAAGACTTTTCCAAAAACAAATTATCGTTGGGTTTTCCAAGGGCTTGTTTCAAGGTCACTAGATGGGCACATTTTCCTTTTCTCTCAACTCACCACATCGATAATGCAAGCAATAGAAAAGGGACAAAAAAACCCCCTCCGAAGACGTTTGGTAATACCAATATACTTTTCTAGTCCGACCAACATCGCTACATCATTGGCCTATAAAGGTCAATGCGCTACATACGCTCTCAAAATGATGCTAAGAAATTACTGACATTTAGTCGCAACTTGCCGGGCGTTTGTCCCGCGTCCTTGGTAGGAATCAGTGGGAGCGGCGTGGCAACGGGCGGTATTCTACACATTTGCCGGCAGAGTGTGGGAGAGTAGATTGCCGTCCCCGTGCAGGGTAGGCCACTTTGAAGAAGGTAGGAGGCATGGCGCTCACTCAAAAGACGGCCAACAAGATATTTGGAGGATGGCAGAAGGTGTTCTCCCACAAGAGCGCGGAGCTGAAGTGTGAAATGAACGTTGGCGTGTTTTTGCCGGCGCAGAGTGAGGTCGGGAAATGTCCTGTAATTTACTGGCTCTCTGGCCTGACTTGCACAGAGCAGAATTTTGTTACTAAGGCAGGTGCTCAGAGATATGCTGCAGAGAAGGGTGTTATTTTGGTGGCTCCTGATACAAGTCCACGGGGATGCAACATTGAAGGCGAAGATGAGTCTTGGGACTTCGGAACAGGCGCAGGATTTTATGTTGACGCAACTGAAGGAAAATGGAAGGAAAATTACCGCATGTTCTCATATGTCACCAAGGAACTGCGGCAGCTCGTCAATGAAAACTTCCCAACAAATGGGAAGCAGAGCATCATGGGTCACAGTATGGGTGGGCATGGAGCATTGATTTGCGCCCTGAAGAACCCTGGCATGTACTCGTTTGTGTCAGCCTTCTCTCCCATCTGCAATCCCAGCCAGTGTCCATGGGGGCAGAAGGCATTTGGTGGATACCTGGGAGAGGACAGAAAGCTCTGGCACGATTATGATGCAACTGAGCTTGTGAAAGACTATGCTGGACCGCCACTGGAGATCCTGATTGATCAGGGCTCAGAAGATGGATTCCTGAAGGATGGGCAGCTCTTGCCGGACAATCTGGTAGCCGCATGCGCCAAGGCCAAAGTGCCGGTTGTGTACCGCCTGCAGCCAGGCTATGACCACAGCTATTACTTCATTGGATCCTTCATTGGAGATCATATTGCAGAGCATGCAAAGGCTCTGCAGTGAGGTGCCATGAAAACAACCATGTCACATTGCTGTTTCATGCCCTGAAGGGCTTTGAGCTATGTTAGCCAGTGCTTGTCAGAGGGGAATGTGTTTGGGAGCGCTGTACCTGGGGGGTTGTTGATATACTAACTGTGATGTGGCACATCACACAGCAGGAGGAATCGTATTCTGATGCTTCTAATAAACTGGGTGGAATACCAATTTTATGATCCGAGCAATGGCTACAATGAGAGAGCAATGAAATATCTCAACTTTCTGGTCTGTAACTGCCTGTAGCAACCAAGTTATTGAACAACAGGCAGCCAGGTTCAAAGATGGTATCCTGCATGATATACAATATTTGGTTTTCCATTGTCTTTTGGAGGTTATTGATTTCATCCATGTGTTTTTTTTAAGACATGTCCCCAATATCACTGATATAAGTGCACAAACCAAAAATTATCATGCATTACAGCATTTATTTTCTGATCAGGAAGCAGCAGTGAACATGCTAATACATGATCACTGCTGGGCATTGCCTTACCAGCTTATTTTCTGAATGAAGTGTACACACTAGATCAAGTCACCCTCATCAAAGGCTAAGCTGCTTTGGCTACTGAGCACCATCTGTTTGAAGTGTGCCCCAATCTCCAGTCACAGCAGTGAAACATGAATGAATTGTGACTGCCTCTGGCCAGGGAAGTGTTTTGGATGACTTTAGAGGCACCTCCTTATGCCTGATGGGTCTCTGTGTATGACCATTTGCTGCCATTTAGTGTCCATTTATTTTCCCTGCCGTGTCAGCAGTGCCAGCTGCTGTCCATGTCAATGTTGCTGACTGCTGCCCATGTAAGCGGTGCCGGCCGCTGCCCATGCCAGCAGTGCTAGGTGTTCATGGCAGCAGTGCCAGGTGCTGCCCATGTCAGCCAGCAGCGACGTGCGCGTACTCAAGCCGGGCGTGGGCATCCAATAGCCAAGGAAGTACACCGCCGGGCGGCTGTCCGCCGAAGGCTGCCCCACCGGAGCACCGGCCCCGATGATGGCGCACGGGCACACCGGACTCGAGCGGCCGGTGCTGGGCACGCTGCTCAGGTACGACCCCCCCCCCCCCCCACGGGCTCGGAGACCAGAATGGAATGGAAAGGGGCTTAAAGATCGGAGCAACGCGACAATGTTTTGGTCGCTTGATTGACGAAATACTATGCTTAAGTGCACGGACGCAGCCTTCGTTTCTATCCTAGCGCAAAAGGAACTGGCGGCCCACACAACAGCCGATGTTTAAAGTGCCCGACAGGGTCCTCGTCTTAATGCACCTGGTTGGTGTCCTCTTCCGCCCGAGTTGCCTTCCAGCCCCCGCAAGACACGCCACAATATGTTTGATGGCGATCTAATTCCTGCAACGCCACCTCCCTGCTCAATGTTCTGGTTAGGGAAGTCTCAGACTTCGCTACCAACTCCGTTATACCATAATAATCTGACAAGGAGTGGGGAGCGTTTGCCATGACATGCGCCAGCGGGCTTACGAATCATAAACAACGTACATTATAAACACGCGGGCCTCTTTCGAAGCGGGGCGTTGCCCGTGTTACAGACCTAGCCATCTGATGGACCTAGTGGCGTGCTTGAGTGACTGCTCCGGGACAAAACGCACCCCACACTCAAATTACTGCGTATATTCCGCACAGCCAGTCCCAACGACACAGTGTAAGCCGTCGGCACACGACACAACGGACGGTCATCGCGTGGCGGACGCGGGACCCGGCAGCCACATCAGAGGGACTCTGAGGAGAGAAGGATCCGGCAGACATGTCAGAGCACACTGCGATACACCTCCGAAACTCGCCGCCGACACGGAATGCATCCCCCTGGCCGGGGTTACACGACGCCCGCAGTAGCACGCCACGCGCGCGCCATCTGCTCCGGCGCAGACCACAGGCCCACGCCACCACCACCATCTCCACGTCAAGGCTAGCATGGATCGGCCCGCTCCAGCGACGTCACGTGACCTCAGCACACCGCATCAGCGCACCTCTGAGGGGATCACCGGGGTCACCGGGGTCACGGGCCAGTGGCGTCAGGTCCGGCGGCACCACACGCGGCCACGTCAGGTCAGGTAGCGCCAGGTGACATACATGACTACGAGCGTGGCGAGCATGCCACCAAACAGCACGAACTTGTCCTGGTAGGCGCGCCGTTCTATGAGCCGCATCACTGTGTTGGACATGCCGAGCGTGTTAGCCAGGTCAAGCATGCGGCGGCGGGCGCCCTTCAACACGCCCCGCTGGTCCCGCAGGTTCGACAGCGCCGAGTTGCCGATGTTCAGCAGATCGTCCAAGCCGCGGTGTGAGTTCTGCCGGCGCGGGACACACCGCCGGTTAGGGACACACCGCTGGGTCGAGGTGCGCGCTGCCCAGCACATTACAGGCTATTCGGACAACTACCGACAATAATTACGGAACGAACGCAGTGTGTGGCGACTGACTATTTATAATCTGAATCGCACAAACGGGACTATTACGATGCGCACATGCATGCGCACAGGTCGACAACTTTCAGTGAAAATGACCAACCTCATAGGAAATCATCCCTACAGTTCCATAAACTGCCACATACCTGCAACCCTCTCTTTTCTTTACCTTGTGGTACTGAAGGCACACATCGCCTCCATATGCAGCTAGTATGAGTCGGCACAGTTACGGCTGCTTTTAGCAGCGCTATTGCGCATTCGGCGCCCTGTTTCACACTGCCCTGTAGGCAAGGTGGGGGGGACAGGAGTGCCGGGCGCGCGCCAGCCGCCCACCTGGAGCCGGTCGTTCATCTGGAGTGCCGCGTCGATGGCGATACTCGTGTCGCTCTGGTCGTTGGTGGTGAAGCGCTGCGATAGCAGCTGCTCACGCTCCATCCGCTCGCGGTCCCGCGCCATACGGCGCTGCTGCAGCGCCCGCAGCGCTGACTGGCGGGCGAGAAACGAACTTAAGTTTCCCAGTCAGCCGCCCGCAACCGTGGTGCTGGTGAGGACAAGGATCAGGACGGAGTGCGCAACAGAATGCAAGGCCGGAGATTTTGAGATGTAGTGATGGAGAAAAACAGTTTGGGGAAACTTGATCACCAACCAACAGATGAAAGAAAATAACAATTGTACTGCTTAACCTCTTTCAGTTGCCACATCAGTTATTTTTTATTCTGACCACCTCATAAACACAGTGAAGTGGCATAGTTAAAAGTTAGAATGTTTTGAGGTCAACTAGTAACTGAGTTTTAAGGGTGTGTCAACTGTGTTTTAAGGCTTGTTTATTTCAGATGACAATGGAATTACACTTCAGATAATGTAACCAAGCCCTTGCATCAAACTGAAGACCCAAAATTGTTTAATCCATAACCTACAAAACACAGAACAGAAAAAACATGAATGTTTATGTCATGCATGGTAAAGCTGTATCATCCACTACAATTTATGAGAAACACATACCTGAAGATGCTGGACATCATACTTCAACTGGTTTACACGTTGTTTGGCACTGTTTCGCCTCTGCACTGGCTCCTTGTCAGCCAAAATGTCCAGTCGCTTACAATTGCTGAAAGATAAGATGCCTCTGCAATCAAGTGCCAGTGCAACATCTTTGGACAGCAGGTCTTCTTTTGATTTTCTATTTGCTATTAGAAACATTTGTCATCAGCAAACCAATTTAAATTAAATATTCTAAAGCAGTGAAACTAGAAATCAGCACCCAGTAGTTCTAAACTTAAGAGGATGTATGATAGACTTAAGTCCTTCAGTAAAATCATTCTTGGGCCTGAATGGCATGGAAGGTCAGCTGTTTATGTGCCATGCATGCTCAGTCCAGCCCGCAGCAAGCAAATAGCACCGTATACATCCAAACACTTGAACCTTGTCTTAATTTTGCCAGGGGCAAAATCAAAATATCCATTGAGCCCGATAAGCCAGTCTTGCGTGACCAGTTCAAGACCAGTATGACATGCTGTGGTTGACAATTCATACAACCAGGCCAATGCAAGCTACAAACTTTTCTGAGTCCAGACAATGACTGTCAATACTTTCCACTGCATGTGCCATTATCATGCACATACATAAACCTCATCTCCAAGAAATGAAACAGTCACATCCATACCTAATGATGTTCTCAATGGCCAGATTAAATTCTCTCTCTTGTCCTTCTGCTTCAGAAGCTGATGCTCTTTCTAACAATGCAAACCCATCTTGCATCTGATGAACCAGACCATTTGTCTGGTGGTAAAGTGCCTCCATCCTTCTTCTGGAGCTGCCTGATGACTAGCCAGGCTTAACAGAACATAAGACAAGACAAAACAAAACTTCTGGAAGTTTCTGCAACAAGAGACATTCAACATCAATGAAAAGGTAATGAGTACAGCACTACACTGAAGTCAAAGACCATTAGAAGCATCAAAGACCCGAGGGGCTGTACAAAGGCCCCACACAAACTACATAGTTAGACACTGATACCGCCACACCAACTACCATATGGTAAAGTAGAAGCAAACATGCATCACGTTAATGAGCTCGACAAAGCACAAAAGCTACCTTCACTTTCACGGAGGTCCATCACAACAATGCATATCTGATAACACCCAATTACATTCTAGTTTATTCTGAGTGGGAGCAAACCCTTAAACACCCTCAGCACGACTGCAACTCTTGCGGACCCTCAGTTTATTCTGGGTGGGAGCAAACCATTGAACACCCTCAGCACGACTGCAACTCTTGCGGACCCTCAGTTTATTCTGAGTGGGAGCAAACCCTTGAACACCCCCAGCACGACTGCGACTCCTGCGGACCCTTCGGCCTTGGACCCTTCGTACTTTGTACGCGGACCGCCGATCAACAGCACACCAACCTGCACTCAGTCGCTTGAACTTTAAGTGAACAGCAGGCAAAGCGAAGGCCTACTGCTACGTGTAGAGTACAAATATAACGCAGCACTGACAATAGTATTAAGCGTTTGGGCCATTAATTTACAAGTGTCCTCTGTTGCATTGCATGCGTGCTCTTCCAGCGCGCATCTCAATTTACCAAAAGTGGATTTACGATTTCGGCTCTAGCCGTCGCGGATGGCCAGTGTGCTCTTAGGAGCATCGTATTTCTGACTCGTTTCAGACGAACGTAATACACCCGGCGCCACAGTAACCGCGTATTTATGCCATCGAGTCGTACCGAGCACTGCAATCTGACCAGGACTGGGTCATACCAGCCAGACACCCTAGTGAGCAATGCCACTCGGTTACCTAACAGGTCGTCCCTCCCTTGTCGAACTGGTGACTTTTCTGACAGTAGCAGCTCGAGCACCCGCTCCGCGGCGCATGTGACGAAACCCATGGGCTTATTCTTCGGCAGGCATTCGTAGCTACAAAATTACGTGCCAACGTCTGCGTGTGCCTGCAGCGGGCCAGAACCTCATGCAAGGCCCAGCGGCTACAGGCAATGCCTTTTTTAGATTCTGTAAATCCATTGCAACGGGATGTGCCGCGTGCACAGTGTTGGATCTTTCACGTGTTCATCACGTGAAGCCCCATATCGGGGCCCGACAGCTTTGTCGTTACTTGGTCAGCGACAGAAGCTCCTCTTACGGTTGTTATGTTTTATTATAGCATACAAACCGTACACGAGAATGTACCAGAGCGAAAAGCCCGATATGCTCCAGCCAACAGCGCGTTAGACGCGAGCTCCAGCCTTCCCGACCAACAATGCACATACTTTAGCCTCGGGCCGCTTGCATTAACCACCGTTCGTCTCTCCGCTTCCCGTGCTCGACCGCGTCCCGGGAGCACGCGCCACCCCACCGGCCGCGCAACGCCGCCCTCCAGTGGCAAGCACGCCCCAACTGTGCGAGGCGCATTTGTACCCGGTCCAACACGGCCGGGCGGACCGCGCACAGCCGCCAACACGCAAGGCAGGGCCGGCGCCACACCAGCCGCGGACCAAACGGCGTCAAGCGCGCCGGCCCGTGACGTCACATCCGGCCAATCAGCGCGCAGGACGTACGCGTGACGTCAGCTCCGCAGCGCGATGGCACCGGATGTCGCTACAGTGGCCTCAAGCTTCAGCTCAGCGCGGCACAACGGACGGTGACGGTCGCTCCCGGCCACGGGACGACGTCAGGAGGGGTGGACGGCTCCGTCCACGGGGGAGGGGCAGGGGACACCGGGCCTGCGGATGGCGTCAACAACCCGCCGGGTGCGGCACCCCGCCGACCGCCGCCGCCGCTCAGTAGTCCATGGTCTTGATAAACTCGGCGGCCGAACAGAACTGCGTCCACCAGTACTGGTCCTCGCCCTACCAGCCGGTCGCCGTAAAAGCTGTTGACGTACTGGATGGTGGAGAGCAGCGAGCTGGGGCACGCCTTGATCAGCACGAACACCAGCACCGGGATCAGGTCGTCGGCGGCCGGCACCGAGCGCTCGTTGGCGATGTGCAGCAAGTTCATGATGGTGGCGCAGCAGCGTGTCACGCAGGCCACCTTGTCGCGCGCCGTCTTGTAGGCGTTGAGGGCGGTGATCTCGGCCTGCGCACTCGGCCACGGGTGTTCGTAGTGATAGACGCTGGGTATCTTAAGGTCCGGGTGGCCCGGCGTGACGACCAGCGCCAGCCGCCGCATGTGGCCCGTCAGCACCTGGTCGCGGCTGACGTCCGCCTCCCCGTTTGGGTACAGCGCCAGCGTGTAGATCTGCGACGAGCGAGGTCAACGATGTCCAGGTAAGACAGATTATCAGGTACAGCAGATCATCGAGTGCACCAGAAAGTGACGTCACGGCGAAATGCCCGTAGGACGATTCAAGCGATACATTCGCCGCATGAAACACACATTCCCACAGCTTACACTGTCGCCGATAGAGGCGCTCATTCACGTCATACGAGACGGACGCCTCGCTGGCAAGTGGGTGATGCAAAAACATCCTCTATTCAGAGGCACGCTCGGAATCGTTGGGCGTATCGCAGGCAGCTTCCTATATCACCGGTTAATAACCTGTCAATGAACTATAACTCGCGTTCGAAATAGTTTGCACGGTAAAACGGAACTGTTCAGCCCCCATCGTGCCTTGCATTGCACCTTCTGCACAGCAAACTGCAATCATCTTTTTCCAGCAGCTTGCAAGACACGTCATCCATACACTGTGGTTTTTACAGAAATGTCAAAGTTGTGCGTTAGTCTGCAATGAGTTTTAACTTTCCCTACACTGACGCCGGCAAGATGAACCAACGTGTTAGTGATAAAAAGGGCAAAATGTCACATGGTGCACACATGACTGTTTTCACGACCTACCGCACAGCGGAAGATGAATAAGCACGTCGCGGGTGCCTAGGATGGTCGGGCAGATGGTTGGGAAAACAACTAGACTTGCTTTTAGAAGGTTGCAAGACAAAGTTTGGCCACGAATTGCCGGACGAAATCCCTCGGTTCTGGGACTGCAACCGGACGACTCGGGAGAGCCATTCTGCCGCCTCACAGGCATAGGGAAAGCATATGGTGAATAACGGCATCGATTCTACGGTCGCAGCCGGATTCATGTAAGCTGCGACCTGACCCAAGATCTGGCCAATTCGCGCACCCCACCTGCGCCGTGACCACGTGCTCACCGGCCTCTCACCACACCGTGGGCGCAAGTCCACCGGCCTCTCACCTGAACCGTGTGCGCGTGTTCACCGGCCTCTCACCAGCACCGTGTGCGCGTGTTCACCGGCCTCTCACCTGAACCGTGGTGCGCGTGTTCACCCCGTGGCGCGTGTTCACCGGCCTCTCACCTGAACCGTGTGCGCGTGTTCACCGGCCTCTCACCTGCACCGTGTGCGCGTGTTCACCGGCCTCTCACCTGAACCGTGTGCGCGTGTTCACCGGCCTCTCACCTGAACCGTGTGCGCGTGTTCACCGGCCTCTCACCTGCACCGTGGGCGCGTGTTCACCGGCCTCTCACCTGCGCCATGACCATTTGTTCGATGGCTTCGCGGGCCAGGTGCAGCTGGTGGTCGTCGGCCGCCTGCCAGTCGGGGTCCCGCAGCAGCTCGTCGCCCAGGTGCGCCAGGAAGCGCGCCACCAGGTCTGTCTTCTCGTCAGAGGCGGCCGCCTGCTGGAAGCTCGCCTGGGCGGGAGTGGGGCGCCGCCGTCAGCCTGGGCGAGCGCAGCCCTCAGACGCAATACCGGCGCCAGTTGACCCCTGGGTTCGGCCCCTGGGTTTGCCTCCCCGGGCTTGCTCCTGTGTTTGCTCATGCAGTGGCACGGGGCAGAGCGCGCTGGCCCACTGCACTGATGACAACGAGATGCAGTATGAAAAGGGTGGTTGGGGCCGCGTCAATTCCCTTTAATGTTGGCGCTCCTTAATGTTCGTACTGAAAGATGCCAATTCTGGCAGCCTTGCAGGACGGACATTTTCAATATCCTCCGGTGAATACCTATCCGTTAAGTCAGAGTCTACAGTTGTCTTGGCCCAGGACTGTCAGCGATAAACGCGGACCAGCAAACACCAGGGAGGCCAAGAAGCGGCCCTCCAACTTCCAGCCGTTCCAGAACACAACTGAACCCCCATTCACCGCCGACACCGACGAGTACGCGCCAGCTGCCCGCGTCGACCGTCCCCTCTGACGGCCACCATCCTCCCCTCTCCGCCGCCCCCGACGGCCGCTCACCTGGAACCGGTGCACAGTCTGTTTGTGCCGCTCGAGGAAAAGCAGCACGCACTTGTCGACGAGTGCGCGCGTGCAGACCGTCTGGTCGCGGCGCACGTGGCGCACCGTCAGCTGCACGTGCGCCAGCGTGTCCAGCAGGCCGTCGCGACAGCGGACCAGGTAGGCGATGTAGGGCGCGCGGCCGCTGTAGTCTTCTCGCAGCGAGCGCAGCAGCGCCAGCTGGCCGGCGGCGTCGAACAGCGACACGCAGCGCACGGTCTCGTGCAGCTGCGCCATCAGCGCGTGGTCCTGCAGGCTGATGTACTCGGACAGCTGGAGTCGCAGGAAGGACAGCAGCGCGCCTGACTCGTCCCGGCCCGGCTGGCGGCGGAGCGGAGGCGTCAGTGGCAGCAAGAGAATGGCGGCGCCGACCCAGGGCGCTGGTGCTATCACTAAAACACGTACCGTTACTGTGAACATAGCCACGAAATAACCTTGAACTCACCTTGCGTTCGCCAGACCGGTCGGGGGCATACTGCCGCAACATATGTCACGCTGCGCCCTTTCCGTCGGAGAAATCGGCCAGATGAGTGCCCGGTGTCTGATATGGCAGGAGCACAAAAATTCGACCGGCAGAACATGCCAGCGGCTATGTCGCATGTCTACGGCTTATGCGCGGCCGCCAGAGGAGCGTCTCCCGCTCACCTGCGGTCGTCAGGGGAGCGTCCCCGCTCACCTGAGGCCGTCAGGGAGCGTCTCCCGCTCACCTGAAACCGTCAGGAGAGCATCTCCCGCTCACCTGAGGCCGCCAGGGAGCGTCTCCAGCTCACCTGCGACCGTCAGGGAGCGTCTCCCGCTCACCTGAGGCCGCCAGGGAGCGTCTCCCGCTCACCTGAAACCGTCAGGAGAGCGTCTCCCGCTCACCTGAGGCCTCCAGGGGAGCGTTTCCCGCTCACCTGCGGCCGCCAGGGAGCATTTCCCGCCCACCTGCGGCCGCCAGGGAGCGTCTCCCGCTCACCTGAGGCCGCCAGGGAGCGTCTCCCGCTCACCTGCGGCCGTCAGGGGAGCGTCTCCCGCTCACCTGAGGCCGTCAGGGGAGCGTCTCCCGCTCGCCTGTCACCGTCAGGGGAGCGTCCCCGCTCACCTGAGGCCGTCAGGAGAGCGTCCCCGCTCACCTGCGGCCGCCAGGGGTCCCGCTCACCTGAGGCCGCCAGGGAGCGTCTCCCGCTCACCTGAGGACGCCAGGGGAGCGTCCCCGCTCACCTGCGGCCGCCAGGGAAAGGTCTGCACGTTGGCGGCGGACAGAACGCGGCGCAGTTTGCGCTTGGCGTCGGAGAAGGCGTACGACGCCTCCACGTTGTTGGGGTCGATTGTGAGGCGGACCAGGTCGGCGGCTGCCTCGTCCTCAGTCGCTCCATCGACCAGCGTCGCGCCCGAGCGCGTCTGATGACGACCGACCGGCACAGGGTCACGCGCATGGCAGGTGGGAGTGGCGGGTCACCGCTGCCAGCCGGCTCAACAGCCAGGCAGAGTCGGTGTCCTTGCACATATGCGGTGCACGATAGGGTAACAAGGCGGCAAGCTATCAACATCACGTACGTGGTGAGTCTGGCTAAAAAACTGACAAATCACGTATCCTGGGTTTAAAAGACACAGACAGGGTCGAACCATTAGCATCGACGCCAGGGAGTCGCTGCGTACTGCTGATGACCGGCGATGACCTCTAGAAGGACGGGGCCCGCGCAGTCACCGCGACGTGGCCCCCCAAACCGGCCTGGCTGGCGCCTGTGCGGCGACGATTAGCCTGCTACGCCAGCCACGCGACCCGCACGGAGCCCGCCACCTCGTCCGGCCGCCCTCAACCCACCAACCCGTCCGTCCGTCCTCAGACCACCACCCCATCCACCCGCCCTCAGCCCACCACCCCGTCCACCGGCACTCAGTCCACCACCCGTCCGCCGTCCTCAGCCCGCCACCCCGTCCACCCGCCCTCAGCCCATCACCCCGTCCGCCCGTCCTCAGCCACCTGGGCGGCCGCGTCCGGCGTCTTGCGTCGATACTTGGCCAGGATGTCGTCGGACGTCTCGGCCGACTCCGCCCCCTTCCGGTCGCCGAGGACCTCACGGCCGTCCCCGGAGCCGCGCTCCAGCCTGCCGACACGGCGAGAACGCTCGACTCGGGCAGCGCACATCGCGCGCAGCCGGCCAGACTTCCCGACACGGCGAGAACGCTCGGCTCAGGCAGCGTACATCGCGTCCAGCCGGCCAGACTTTCCGACACGGCGAGAACGCTCGGCTCGGGCGGCGTACATCGCGCGCAGCCGGTCAGACTTCCCGACACGGCGAGAACGCTCTCGGGCGGCGTACATCGCGTCCAGCCGGCCAGACTTTCCGACACGGCGAGAACGCTCGGCTCGGGCGGCGTACATCGCGCGCAGCCGGTCAGACTTCCCGACACGGCGAAAACGCTCGGCTCGGGCGGCGTACATCGCGCGCAGCCGGTCAGACTTCCCGACACGGCGAGAACGCTCGGCTCGGGCGGCGTACATCGCGCGCAGCCGGTCAGACTTCCCGACACGGCGAGAACGCTCCTCGGGCGACGTACATCGCGCGCGCCGGTCAGACTTCCCGACACGCGAGAACGCTCGGCTCGGGCGGCGTACATCGCGCGCAACCGGTCAGACTTCCCGACACGGCGAGAACGCTCGGCTCGGGCGGCGTACATCGCGCGCAGCCGGTCAGACTTCCCGACACGGCGAGAACCCTCGGCTCGGGCAGCGTACATCGCGCGCAGCCGGTCAGACTTCCCGACACGGCGAGAACGCTCAGCTCAGGCAGCGGACGCCGCGCGCAGCCGCTCAAAGACTGCCCGACGCAGCACATTACTGTCGTCTCCAACGGCCCGGCCCGTCGTCAGCACAAGACAGAGAAGACAGGCCGCTTCCCCACGACACGGGGGCACCGGCCGCCTCCGCACGACACCGAGTGGCTCGAGCGGCGCCACCCACCTGTCGGAGACGAGCTCGCGCGAGCCCTTGCGTCGGCTCTTGAACGGCAGCTTGAGGTTCTTGAAGAAGCCGCGGCGCGCCTGCTCGTCGGCGGCGCGCCGGTCGCCGCGCTCGGCCGTCTTGTCGAAGCTGATCGACTTGGGAATGGCGCCGGTGGCGGCGGCCGGCCGCAGCGCCGGCTCCGAGCCTGCCGCACGGACGCGTCAAGGCGAGGAGGCGGCGCCGACACGCCGGGCCGCCGCACGGCTGGCGCGGCGCCAGCGTCAACGGTCTCTCGGCAGGCGACCAGACAGGCAGGTTAGGTGGCCTCTTGAAGAACGACGCATGGAAACCACGGTCGGTAAACATCAACTGGGACAGAAGCCACGACCAACGAGACATCAGGATGGTATCAAATCATAGGTACGACAGTAGTAATAATCTTATTCCTCGGAGAAAAACCAGGAGTGTTTCTTCCTGAGACGGAAACAAGATCCTGACCTCCAACTCCGTCCTCTAGCACTGACATCTCATCAAGACACCTTGCCCGGGGCGTCTGCCGGCGGTGGGCGGGGCCGCCGCGGCCTCTCACCGGTTGCCGTCGGGAGGGCGGGCGGCTCGGGGCCGGCCGGCTCGGCCGTCACGGCGCCCGAGCTCGGCTCGGCCAGGTCGCAGCCGCTGCCGCTGCTGCTCAACGAGCCAGCCGACTGCGGCGCCTTCGACGCGGTCGGCGGGCTGGCCGGCGGCGGCGGCGGCGGCTGCGCGGCCGGCGCCGGGGTCGGCCGCGCAGCCGCCGCCGTCGTGCGGCCGCGCTCGCGCTGCAGGCCTGACGCCGAGCTGAAGTCGGACGAGACCGACTCGCCCGACATCTGGCGGCCGCGCTCGGGCCGCGCCGCGCCGCCGCCGCCGCCGGCCGCCGGGAACGCCGGCGCGCTGACGGACGCCTTGAGCGGCGGCGACTCCGGCGCGCCGGCGGCGGGCGGTGCGGCGGCGCACTCCGAGCGCGCTGTGTCGTCGGAGCGCGCCACGCTGGCCGAGTCGTCGGCGTCCACCTCGGCCAGCCGGTCCCGCTCCGAGTCTGAGGCCAGCACGTCGGTGCTCCAGGCCTCCGAGGCCGTCTCGCTGGGCTCCAGGCCGACGCCGCCCTGGCCGACAGGCGACCGTCACCACATCAGGCACACACAGCGACGTGGGTCCCAAACACACTGCCTGGGGTCAGGTCAGGCTGCGCTAGCGTTCAAAAGCACTAGCGTGCTGGGAAACAGCAGCACGGCGTCTTAAATGTCAAAAACGGAATACCGAGGTCTAAAAACAGGACTAAAGGTCATTGGAGCGAAAAAACCCATGAACATCGGTTATCCGGAATCACCGTTTAAGAGCCCTGTTCAACTCAGAGGGAGACAGTCGACGCACAACAGACGCCTTGAGCAGCCCGGACGCGGGTACACCTCACTTCAACAGGCCAAACAAGCGGCACGCGACCAGTGACGCCCACTGCGCGCCCGCCGAGACGACTCTCACCGTGCAGAGCTCGAGCAGCTGGCGCGAGGTGAGCGGCGCGTCCGCCTGCTCCACCGTCTCCGTGTCGCTGGCCAGCACGTCCGTGCTCCACGTGTCAGACACCATCGACACCGTCTCGTCGCCTGGCGGCCGGACCCCGGTCAGCGGCCGCCGTCACGCCCGACCGACGCCGGCCTCGAGCGACAGCCGGCCGCGCGGAGTGGGCCCGACCTTCCCGGACGGCGGAGCCATACACGCTGGCCGACAGCGCCGGTCGACCGCGCGGAGTGGACCCGACCTTCCCGGACGGCGGAGCCATACACGCTGGCCGACAGCGCCAGCCACGCGGGCTGGGCACGAGGCCACCGGCGACCTACTGCACGGCGCACCCGATACACCTCCAGAATCCATCCAGCGAGCCGAGAGACGAGCTCCGCTCCTGTGCCACCCCAGCCCTGTGAATCCGCCGGCCTCGCCAGCCCTGCACGGCCGCCGGCCGCCCCAGCCGTCCGTACCTTCATTGAGTGGCTTGATGTTGAACTTGCCGAATTTGTCCTCGATGACGGTGGCCGGCGGCTTGGCGGCGGGCGGCGGGTGCGGAGCGGCGCGGCCGCCGCCCGGCCGCTCGCCGCCGCTCGGCAGCGTGTCCGCCTCGTCCGTCACCTGAGACGACGGCGTGTTGCGGCCTGCCGCGCCATACGGGGGTCAGCGGGCGGCGCACGGCGCGGTGGCGCAGGTAACACCGGCGAAGGCGGCCAGGCATCGGCGGCGATGGCGCTGGGGCGCAGGCTCAGTCGCGCTGCTTTACTTTGCAGCACCCAGCTGCCTGGTACGGCCAAGTCGGGGCTCAACGCCACCGCAGGCGCGCTGGTGCATGGTTGGATAGCCAGCAGTTGTCGGCAGACATGACGGTAGATGCGGGGTCAAATGACTGGTAGTGCTATACATTTTCAAGATCCTAGATAGTGCTAGCCGGCTGCATCTGAAACCCAAGTCCCGGATGGTGTGCAAGGCTGGGATCGGATACGCGCTCAAGAATTTACGTCGGCATGCAACCTCCATGAAGACAGCTCAGTTGAGATACATTCGGTTTCTCACGATGAAACCGGACGTTCTCCCCCTCCCCCCCCCCCCCCCACCCCGACTCCGTCCCAGGAAGATTGAAACGCTCTTGACCAAAAACGCGACAGCGGAAACGGCCGAAGAGATCCTCTCGCCGGCCAAGTCCTGCGCCTTGGGCTGCAGGCGCCGTTGGAGGCCGCCCCATCTGCTGTCCGTAGCTCCGGACGCCAACAGCAAACCAGCCTCTGATCCAAGCCGTCCAGAGAGCCGGCACCGGCACCGCACACGCCATGACCCCGCACCCGCCGGCCGTGACAGCACCGGCCGGCCGGGCGACTGCCAGACGCACCGCCGGCACGCCCCGCCACCCCGTCTGCCAGCCGCACCACTCACCGGACACGTTGGGCGTCTCCCGTCCGGACACGTTGGCCGAGACCATGTCGCTGAGGTTGTCGTCCTTGTACTGCTCGGCGTCCTCCAGACTCGAGTCGTCGCTGTCGCTGACGTTGCTGGCCGCCTCTGAGATCAGCCCCCGGGGTGTCAGACGCTGCTCTGAGATCGACTCCGGGGTGTCAGACGTTGCTCTGAGATGGCCCCGGGGTGTCAGACGCTGCTCTGAGATCAGCCCCGGGATGTCAGACGCTGCTCTGAGATCAGCCCTGGGATGTCAGACGATGCTCTGAGATCAGCCCAGGGGTGTCAGGCGCTGCTCCGAGATCAGCCCAGGGGTGTCAGGCGCTGCTCCGAGATCAGTCCCGGGATGTCAGACGCTGCTCCGAGATCAGCCCAGGGGTGTCAGGCGCTGCTCTGAGATCACCCAGAGGTGTCAGGCGCTGCTCTGAGATCAGCCCCGGGATGTCGGACGCTGCTCTGAGATCAGCCCCGGGGTGTCAGACGCTGCTCTGAGATCGCCCCGGGGTGTCAGGCGCTGCTCCGAGATCAGCCCCGGGATGTCAGACGCTGCTCTGAGATCAGCCCCGGGGTGTCAGACGCTGCTCCGAGATCAGCCCCGGGATGTCAGACGCTGCTCTGAGATCAGCCCAGGGGTGTCAGGCGCTGCTCCGAGATCAGCCCAGGGGTGCCAGGCGCTGCTCCGAGATCAGCCCCGGGATGTCAGACGCTGACGCAGCGACATACCACGTCCGAGGCGGCCGGAGGATCATGAACAAGATGACCTCAACTCCGACCGTTATTCTCCCTGCCATTTCGATGCCCGTCGTCAGTCAAGACGGGTTCACACTCACTTTCGTTCAGCCCAAGGACAGACGGAAGCTCGGCAAAGCCTAGAGTACACTCCAATATGCCAAGTTCATGACCCACACCCGGCCAGTCATCTCGCCCGCGCTCCTGGCGCACCGAGCCCCCCAACGCCACCACAGGCCAGTGACCTCCAGATGAGTACATCTCGACTGATTGCCACCGCTGACTGATAACAGGGTGTGTCTGGTCACCCCTGCCTGGTGCCAGCGACCCCCCCCCCCCCCCTCTACCCCTCCGCACGTCGCCTCACCGATGGAGCCGTCGTGGCTGAGGCTTGCTCGCGTGCGCTTGCCGGCCGGCTCGGGCCCCGAACTGGACACCTGGCTGGCGGCCTCGTCCGGCTCGGCCGGCGCCGGCCCGTCCAGCTCCAGCAGCGCCCGGCCCGGCCGCTCCTCGCCGCCGGCGCGCAGCACCTGTCCGACGGGCGGCGGGTCACCGCAGGGTCACGGCAAGGTCACGGAACAGGCGGCGCCAGCACAGGTACGGACAAGGGGCGCAAGGGGCAGGGGTACACGAGGCGGTGGTCATCCGGCTGACGAGGGCGGCGGGACATGGACCGTGTCAGGCAGCCGTCTGGCGCGACATGGACCGTGCCAGGCAGCCGTCTGGCGGGACATGGACCGTGTCAGGCAGCCGTCTGGCGGGACATGGACCGTGTCAGGCAGCCGTCTGGAGGGACATGGACCGTGTCAGGCAGCCGTCTGGCGGGACATGGACCGCGCTAGGCTGTCGTGATGCCGCCTCATCACATTTTACAATCTGATGAACGCCCCCCCCCCCCCGAGCAACCGCACACACCAGCACCAGCACCAGCACCAGCACCAGCACCAGCACGGCGGACGGGACGTGGGGGCCGGCTGAGCGGCGTCCGTCGGCGGCTGACCTTTAGCTCGCCGACCATGCCCGGGCAGACGCCGGGCGTGTTGAGCGACACCACCAGCACCTCGAGCGGCCGCTCCTCGGCCAGCGGCGCCTCCGGGCCGGCGCCGGTGCTCCGGCCGCGCCGCTGTACGCTCGTGTGCACTGCCGGAGACGTGAGACGCGTCAGGCCGCGGCGGCGCGGCGTCTCGGTCACCGTAGCACACGCCGAAGGGCAGTTACGGTCAGATCGGAGTTGACCATTTCGAGAGGAGCATGTGGGGGATGTCGGCGAATTCGCACGTGCTCGGCGTAAACCATGACAAAAAAGTCTGCAGCACGGCAGACTTTGCGCCAATGTCAGACAACGCGGCAACGTGACAGCCTGCCTCTAAAATGGATAGCCGCGCAGTGGACAACAGCACGAGCTGAGCTCCAGACGGCGCTGCCGGCCAACCTTACGCCCCCCCCCCCCCCCCGCCACACGTCCTCCCCTCTGACCAGTCAGCAGCGCACGGCCCACCTTTGTCCAGTATGCGGCTGCGGCGGCTGCCGTGCTGGCCGTGTGGCGACAGGCCGGGACTCGGCGAGGCGACGACCGGCGGCGTCGGCGGCGGCGGCTCCGGCGCCGGCAGGTGCGCCGTCAGCCCCTCCAGCAGCCGCTGCTCGGCCGGCTCCGAGGTCTCGGCGGCCATCTGGCGCAGCAGGCCCACCTGGCAGCAAGGCCCAGCGTCAGAGGTTCACCTCGCCGGCGATAGGTGGCGACCGGTTCACGCGGCCAACGCACTCGCCACACGCCTCCGTGGTGGCTACCGACTCAGCAAATGAGAGGGCGGGATACCGCGTGATCTGAGAGTGACTCACCGGGGGCAGCCCGCCCCCTGCAGAGCAGCAGGATCACCAGCTCCTCAGAGAGGGTAGGCCGCCACCCAGCGCGCCAGACGATAGGTACCACAGGCTTCTCCGGGCGGACTCGGAGGACGGTGCCCGGCTCACTAGATACAGTGGCTCCCCAGGCGCCCCACACGTCAAACGCCTTCCGCCCGTCTGACGGACGCGGTGCGAACCTCCCCCAAGTGCCGGAGGGTCCCCTCCCTCCACTCAGGACGCCGGCGCCGCCTCACCAGGTGGTCTAGGTGGTCCCGGGTGATCAGCACGGCCGACCGGCTGAGCCCGACCAGCCGGCTCTCGTGCTGGAGCGGTCCGGCCGGCCGCGTTTCCTGCTCCGCGGGCGGGCCCTCCTGCGGCCCGCCAGTCAGGATGCAGCCCAACAGTGACGAGACGCTGCCCTGCGGACGGCGGCGGAGACGGCACCGCGTCAGACGGCAGACAGCCGACGTCAGCAGGAGAGGAAAGGTGACGTCAGCAAGAGAACACGTGACGTCAGCAGAGGAACACGCCAAGTTAGCAGGGGAGGATAGGTGACGTCAGCAGGGGAACATGTGACGTCAGCAGGAGAACACGTGACGTCAGCAGAGGAACACGCGAAGTTGGCAGGGGAGGATAGGTGACGTCAGCAGGGGAACATGTGACGTCAGCATGAGAACACATGACGTCAGCAGAGGAACACGCCAAGTTAGCAGGGGAGGATAGGTGACGTCAGCAGGGGAATACATGACGGGAGGGGAAGGGGGAGGGGCGGCTCGTGAAGGGGGAGGAGCGGCTCGTGGCATCACGGGACGGCCAGGTGGCCAGGGTTGGTGAGTTAAGTCATTGAAGAACAGTATATGACTAAAGCCATCTGGAACGTCTCATACTGGCTGAAGTTTTAATTAGATAAGGACCTCTCACCCTAGCCTGAAAAGGCGGGCACCGCGGGGATAAAAGCCTGCCTCTGGCTTCCCAGGCGAGCAGCTTAACTATTGCACAACCAATGCTCTTGTTACAAAAGTGGTTTTAACAGCTAACCTCATTCTTGTGTTCATGACTTTGTAAAAATCCCCGTCCAATATATATGGGCCAAACACACCAGAAATGTACTATACATTTCGCGCAACTAGCGAACTGCTTTTTTAACTCGGTGGACATACAAAACCAAAACAGCTTCCTTCCAGTGAGAATACTGCAGTACACCCAACAAATGTGGTACTTGGAGTAACTCAAAGTCTAGACATTCGCAAGTGTCCAGGTTCTGAGGAGGAAGAATGACGGACAAAAGGTTGAAACGACTGTTGCGGGTTCCCCGCTCAACGGCTGTCCCAAGTTTGCGTAAGACCTAAAAATACACTCGCAATATTAGAGCCTTTACCTACCGACAAAGCCACAGATAACATCCTAACCCAATGTGCATAACTCGGATGCTTTCATATACGCATGTGGACATTACCCGTAGGCCACCCAAACGCGCTCTGCCGACATCAAATTCTTCATTATGACATCATTCCCCTTAAACCGCCGAAAGCTACGTTCTTCGCCCCTGTTCAGGAACACCATCAACCTATTCATCAACCCACGTTATATATATCAACCAACCTGATATTGAAATAAACGCCACTAATCACGTCACTTCCTTACCCAACATATGAAACATCTTGAGATCCCTCACGCTGAAGACCCAGAGGAGGGTTCAATCCAGCAAATACCAGTTATAGGCGGTTTTAATCGATAAAGCCCTTGGCTCGGCGGTATGCCGCGCCCACCGTGCTGAACGCGGCACTGAGTTCGATGGCATGACACGACATTGCGGCGGACTGCAGACTAATGTGAAGACATGCCTCCACAGGGGGTTCCATTGCTCTGCAATAGTGAAGGCAACTGAAATTTCTACCACAATGCTGAGTTGGTGCACAGTGGCCGCGGCTGTCGCTGGACCTCGCATCCTATTTATCGTCGGGCCCAAGGCCTGAGGGAGGGTTTGCAGCATACGCTGGCGGAGCGCGCGTGCCATGGTGCTCACCTTGTCGAACCTGTCGTAGAAGGGACGCAGGCGGGGGTCTACCTCCTCCCACTGGTTCATGGCCAGCACCTGCAGGATCTGGCCCACCTGCGGGCCAGTCAGCGGGGGCGCGGTCACGAACAGGGCACCGCTGGGGGTGGCGCTCGCCGCGGTACGCTGCCATGACCTTGCACGCATCGGCGATGCTCCACTGACGACACGCCGGTCAGGACACGTGCTCCACACCCGGCGCGAGCCGTGGACAGGCAGCGAGGGGTGGCGGCACAGCCGGCAGCTTCCGCAGCCCGAAGCACAGCTAAGTCTGAATTGCATGGACACAGCAGAACGGTCATATCGGTGGCAAATTGGGACCCACGTTAGGGCGTATTTGCACCACTACCTGGGCACGCCATGCACGGATGCTGACCTTCCTTGACTGCAGCCCCGGCTCGCCCGTCCCGCACCCCTGGCCGCAACTCCGGCCGACCCGTCCTGCACCCTGGCCGCAACTCCGGCCGACCCGTCCTGCACCCCTGGCCGCAGCTCCGGCTAACCCGTCCCGCACCCCTGAGACGGCTCCGGCGACCCGTCCTGCACCCTGGCCGCAGCTCGGCTGACCCATCCCCCTGACCGCAGCTCCGGCCGACCCGTCCTACGCCCCTGACCACAGCTGACCTGGATCAGGTTGTGCCGCGCCGCCGGGCTGACGGGGGCCTCCAGGATGCCGTACTGCACGGGGTCCACCACCGCCGGACAGATGAAGAACGCGAACAGCAGGTCTACGCAGATGGCGTTCACCTGCGAGCGGACGGCCGCCACCGCGGCGCCAGCGTCAGCAGGGGGCGCTGCCAGCCGGGGAGCGACGGCGGGGGCACAGGGGGCGCACGCCGCGGGCTGTTCACGCGCGCCAGTCGTAAATCCGGCGGACTGGCTCCCATTATGCATGCTGTGCCCCGGCGCAGTATGAAGGGTCGCCAGGGGTGGGCTGGCCAGTCACGGCCACCTAGGCTGCCGGTCTGAACTGCACGTGAGCGATGTCATTCATACGTCATCACTCTATAGAACGCACTGTCACCCATGCAGCCAGTTTGCAATGAACACTGGAACCCCTGCAACGCCAGCCTGTAACCACTGCTGCCTGCGCTGCCAGTCTAGAAGGAACAACGCCATATCTTCCGAAATACACAGCGATACCCATTCATGTGTATGAGTCTACATAATTCACATTGGTTCACGTGTGCTTTCCAGCTGCAGTGCACAATGCCACCTGGCATCCTATCCGCTTTCAATACATAGTGCTCCTGACGCTGGCGGCTTAGGCGGCTTTGCAGACTGACAATTTAAATGCACACTACCTTCCGTGTGCTGCCAGTCTGTGATGTACAATAGCGTCCACGTTCTATCGTTCATATTCAGAGTGATACCAGCTTGTAACGCACGCGTCTTCCTGGGGATCGCGTCTGCGAGGTAAACTATGAACTCGGCCTGGTACTGACGCCGTGCCGCAGCACCGCATCATGACTACAGCCCGGCACCGGTGTCCGTCCAGCAGGACTCCTTCCGCTCGTCCCGTTCCGTCCTGTGGCCGTGCCGTGCCGTGCCGTGCCGTGCCGTGCCGTGCCGTGCCGTGCCGTCCCGCCCCATCCCACCCCGCCTCGCCCCGCCCCGCCCCGCCCGCTCACCTGGTCGGCGCTGCAGCGGTCCTCCCTGACCAGCAGGTGGTACAGGGTGCGCACCACCCACGACAGGCTGGGCGGGAAGCAGGCAGCGTTGTCGGCGATGTGCGTGACGAAGCGCTCGGTCAGCCGCGCCAGCCGGTCAGCCACGGCCGCGTGGTAGCGCGCGCGGCCGTCGGCGCCGCCCACCGCCGGCCGACCCAGCCGTGCCGTCCGTTCCTCGGCCGACAGGCCCTCGTCCACCTGACCGGGGCAGAGGACTGGGTCACGGCGGACCGGGGGCTCCTCGGCCGACAGGCCCTCGTCCACCTGACCGGGGCAGAGACTGGTCACGGCGGGCCGGGGGCTCCTCGGCCGCGACAGGGCCCTCGTCCACCTGGACCGGGGCAGAGACTGGGTCACGGCGGGCCGGGGGCTCCTCGGCCGACAGGCCCTCGTCCACCTGACCGGGGCAGAGACTGGGCCACGGCGGGCCGGGGGGCTCCTCGGCCGACAGGCCCTCGTCCACCTGACCGGGGCAGAGGACTGGGCCACGGCGGGCCGGGGGCTCCTCGGCCGACAGGCCCTCGTCCCACCTGACCGGGGCAGAGACTGGGCCACGGCGGGCCGGGGCGGGGGGTCCTCGGAGGCTGCGCCGGCACGAGGGGCGGAAGACGGGCTTCTGCCCCTCCCTGCACCGGTCAGATGGGCTTCTCACGGGGAGTCGAGTCAGGCGGAGCCACGACGGTGGGAGCCGTTCGCATACATGTCGCGTGTCCTAACCGGTTCCGACAAGGTTGACGGCTCAGGCGGTATTTCTCAGCACCCAGCACACATTTCCTGCCGGCGCCGCACTTGCCTTGTTGGGGTCGATGTCCAGGAACCACTCGTCGTCCATGAGCAGCTGCATGACGGGCTGATGAAGAGCGGCGGTGAGGAACAGCTTGGCGGCGAACAGCCCCTCGCAGAAGGCCTTGTAGACGCGGCTGAAGACGCACGAGCCGCGCCGTAGCAGCCGCTGCGGTGCCTCGGCGCACACCACCTGCGTCACCATCAGCTGCCGCAGCACCTGTCACGGAAACGCCGTCAGTCATATCAGCAGCACCTGACGGGAAGACGCCGTCAGCCACATCAGCAGCACCTGCCACGGAGACGCCAACATCAACAGCAACCGTCGGGGAGACACCGTCAGCCACATAAGCAGCACCTGTCACGGCAGCGCCGTCAGTCACATCAGCAGCACCTGTCACGGAGACGCCGTCAGCCACCTTGGTGTGCGCTGGCACGCATGGGGTGGCGCGCCGCGGCCGGGTCCGCGCCGCCACCTGTCACCCGCCCATAGCAGGCACGATTATCGGAGAGTTCGCCAGACACCAGGACAGGGCATCTGGCACAAGGAAAATGATGGTCGGGATGATAACGCGGTACACAAATTCGCGGGCTAATCATCATCGCGATCAAAGGCGCCCTCAGGCTATTCGGCGGTGTTCGTGCTGAAGTCCAGCGCATTGTCAGATGTTGCAATCACACCCAGAACAAACACGTGTTAACTCTTCCCTGCTTTGTGAAACTCGCCACAGCACATAGGTGGGGCTTCGGATCGCTTTGGGGACCCTAGCACTCATGTTATGCTCCTACAATGTGGGGCCAACCTGCCCGAAAGGAGCCGAAGCGTCAAAAACTTTGTGTGTGCACATACATGGCCACATATATACAGCACGTACTTTTTGGAAAGCTGGCCTCAACTCCTCCTCCCCCTTCACTCCCTTCCTCCCGTTGTAAGACGTTTCATGACCCACGTTTTGACCCGATACCGGAAGCCCGCAGCACAAACCAACAGTGAATGCCCAAACCCAGCAGAGCACCAGAGGGCGTTGTTGTCCAGATGGCCCGTCTTTCCTCGCCATGTTATGGACGTTCATCTCGCGGGTGTTGTCTCAGACCAATCCAGGACAGAAGCCTGATGAGCCAGGGCTCCACTCCCACTCCCCATGAGCTAGCCCCACTCCACAGTCTGACTCGCCTCCGATCACACGGCGCCAGTTCGGCCGGAAGAGTGCCCGGCTGCAGCCCGGCAGTCGGGCACCAGCGGTGGCGTACCTGCAGCACGCTCAGCTGGTCCTCCTGCAGGATACAGTTGCCGTAGACACCCGAGTAGATGGTGTCGACGAGCGTGGTGACCTGGGCAGGGTCGGAGCGCTCGCCGAACAGCAGCAGGCGCGCCACCAGCGCAGGGTTGCTGCGCAGCTGCTGCAGCAGTTCCGAGTAGAAAGGGTCCTGAGGCGCGGCAGCAGCCCAGTCAGATGCTGCGGGCTAGCCTCCCCAGCTGGTACTGTCATTCTCCATATACAAGGCATTCATGCCCTGGCTTTGTCTCAAAGAAGCCCATCACTACATGTGCAAGGCTTTCATTCCAACCCATTAAGATGGGCACTAAAATATGCAATTTATAAGTAAGCAAAATAGCTGCATGAAACATTTATCTCCATCAGCCCCCACACAGGATAAAACATGTGAGGCAGACAGTGGCCTCAGCAGACAACTTACAATGGGCCCCAGCTGTCTGTAGCTGTCCACAAACTGTGCCGACTGCAGGTGCGAGTCACGTCGGCAGCAGACTGCTGGCGTGATGCCAGCCCGGGACAAGATCAGTCCCTCCAGGTTGATCTGTTGCTGGCGGGTGATCCATGACAAGTGGTACAGGTCCTCTACAGCTTTCATCACCTGTTGACAATGTCATGTACAGAAAATACACAACATAGAAGGATGCAACCATACCAACCATAGGAAGATGGTAAATGACATGGCAAAATGCCATCAAAAAGTGTAGTTAGAAGAGATGTATGCCTGAACCTTTGAAGCCAAAGATCAAAGATGACAAACAACCTTTTTTACCACTAATTACCTTTGCTGTACACAACACATCTTGGTTGCAATGAGAAAACATTCAGGTTGAAGTCTTACCAACATTACCCACCTTTTTGTTCAAGTCTTGTATCTGTGCCTTTTCTGACTCCACAAACAGTTTTTCTTTTCTCAGACATTGGGACAGTTCTAACAACTCCATGTAGGGAGTTGCCATCTTACTGTCACTATACTGAAATAAGAATTGAATCAGTTCATTTGCAACATAAGCTATTCATTCTTAAGCTTTCATACACTAAGACTTTGCATGAGACAAGTTAGTGTTAACATATTAAGATCCACATATGTGTACAAGCCAACCTATCTTCCACATTTTATATTTATATAGCAAGAATATATTGTAGCAAGATTGCAAAAGTAAAACCAAAGCATACTTTGATCAATTAATTTCAATGCCAGGAACATAGGGAACATGCTCAAAGACAAAAATTCACTGCAAAACCATGCCTTTTAATGTACTAATCCAAGACAATGGAAGGGGCTGTGGGATATGACCCCACCTTATCAGTAAAAAACAGTCCCAAATTACAGTGTGCATGCACTACACAGGTTGGCACAAAACAGCATCTGTGCCATGCCAGTATAATTTATGACAAATAATTAAATGCTTTATATCATGCAACTAAGTGAGCAATACAGGCTTTAAACTCCTGTTTTTTCCAGGACATATTGTGCTCTTATATCAAAATACAGCCTTTGCATCACTAGAATGTGAATTATTCACTAAAAACATTGTGAAATATGGGAACTTCAAATTATAGTCAAACATTAATGCTGAATGTCAACAACAAGCTACTGGCACACTAACCTGGCAGCCTTTAGCATAAAAAACTTCAGTCAATGGATAACACAAGCAAGAAACAGAAATGTCATGATATGCTCCTATACATGCCCCCAACCCTCACACTCAAGGACAACATTGCAGAATGCAGATTCAGGTGGTAATGCATGTCAGCCTTAAAGATCTGAGAGCAATAGTTCCACACCTGTTCAAAGTCAATACCAAAATAAAGTGCATTTGGTTCATCAAGTATCTGCAATGGTAACATAAATGCTGATGCAAAACCACATGCTTAGAGCAATATTCTGCTGTTGGTGCTGGATGGCTGCTGGTGGATTATGAGCAGTGTCAGTATGTGTAGGGAGCTGCTTGCCACATCAGTGCATACATCCACACCACAATCAGGATCATGCAGGAAATTGTCATCTAACCATGCCAGTGCTATCACTGGTGCTAGTGTTCTCTTTTGTTTGAAGTCCCAGAATACAGAAAGCTTTTTCATAGGTCCAGAGAATGCCCAAAACATTTCAAACATAAAAACAACTGAATTTTACCCTTTCTTGGACAAGAATAAACCATGTCATACAACTTGGAGCTATTAGTTCATCATGTGCAAACCATAGCAGCCTAATAAGCAGCACATCAAATGCAAAAATTAAGAAGGCACACATGGCATAAACATAATTAAACAGCAAAACATGACATCAGGCGTGTTTAATCCAGGGAGACGTAGCATTTTAATCGTGCTTGCACCTGCCATGCCGAAAGTACAATGCCTTATTTCATCTATCATGCATTATATTTCAATTAAACTCACATAAAAGTTTGATTTCAGTTAGCTCTTAACAGTTGATCGAGAAATGATCATGCCAAATAGCGCCACCGCACCCCAACGCCCACGGGCCATACCACTCACGCGCGGGAGGGTCTTTCCTTACGGAATCAGGAGCGGAAAGTCGCCGGACCGATCCCGCACGTCTCATCCGCGCCTCTTTCCCAAGGTCTCCTTGAAGGCAAGGCACCAGAAGCAAAGAAAAAAGAGCACTGACGGTTCTGAGTCAGGAATGTAACAGGTGCGCCACTTACCATTCATGTCAACACCACGCGCAACCATAATATGCCCTTGACGTCAATCACTTGACGCAGGCAGTTGGATAGGGGTCGCTGGGTGCTTAGTGAGGGATTGTGGCGGCATTTATTTAACTCAACTTTTAAAAGGTGAGGTTGATGTGTGGGCTTTAAGTTGGAGCTTGGGTGAAGTGGAAATGTCACGTAGCAATGACGCTGGTAGTCATATGCATAGTATTGGTCTCTTGACCAAATCGAGGTAACGGTTGACTGGTATTCCCAAGGTCTACCTTCTACATGTCAATGTTTTGATTTTACCTATTCCCATGATGTTGATATTTTTTGTGCTGCAGCTGTTCACTGCTGTCTTTTATGGATAGTGAGTGGTCACTCATTCATGACATCTGCATCATATCTTCCCTTTCCTGTTGACTTCATGCTTGCTCATTTTTATCTTCCAGGAGCATATGCCATGTTGATTGGACTTTTGTGTATGTATGATTTATGTTGTGTATTGATTTATTACTGAGGTATGCATTCTATAAAGTACTTTGTCAGGTTGTGCTGGGTGGTGCACTTCCTGATTCACTTACTTGAATCATTAAATGGTAGAAAATGGTGAACTATTAAGTGGTTTAAAACCTGTTGAAAAAATATCATGCTGCTCTGTCAAAATAAATGTTTTGAGTTTTTCATTGAAAACCTACCAAAAGCAATTAAAAACAGCAAAAAATTATATCAATATTGAAATGCATTATGTGGTGTCCATTGCTGGCAATGTTTCACATGAAACTGTCAGGATACTATGCTGCATAAAGGTCAGATAGCAAGGAAGATGAAGACAGTTGCTAATTGGTTAAAAAGCAGTTGTTCATTGCATGTGATGCATGAAAATATAATGTAGATGTGGGTCAAATATGTTATCTGTATATCTAAATGAGATCTAAATATAAGTCAAGCATATTATCTGCAATGGATACCATATGAGAATTATCATTAGCTCACCTATATCAGTATTATCATTAGCCCAAATCATTGTCAAATATGCTGTCTAGGTATTGTCCATTTTATTTGCATTATGTCTTGATAAAGATTGAGTTTAACCTAAATCTAGCATTTCATACCCAGCATCCAGAGGCTGTAGGCTGATGGGTCTGGACTCTGGAGCCTCCTTGTTAGGTAGAATCCAAGAAAATATTGTCAGGTTGAATTCCAAGAACAAATTCCATAGGTAAGGCCAGCTTTTTGTGCCAGTTATAATGCTCTGTGATAATTATGCAGCATTTTGGTGAAGTATCAGATCATCAACAGCAGGGAGCAAAATCTGCATCAGGCTTGCAAAAGTTTTGCAGCTGGTTGTCCTCACCTGTTAAGCTGGAAGGCATGACCAGTTTGCTTGCTCAGCACAGCCTACCATGAATTTGGGATGTTTACTATGCAATGAAAAGAGCCTGCCTTTTTGCAAAGCTCAGTTCTGTCTGACCCTAACTGAAGCACAACCCTGGTCCCACACATACCAACTGGCATAGTTTGCTAGCTATGTTTTGCTAGCATGGCTTGCTACCTTTGTTTCTGCTTATAGCTTGCTACCTTTGTTTCTGCCGGTGTATTTTGCTAGCCATCTTTTTGCTAGCTTAGCTTGCTAGCTACATTTTTGCTCATATGGCTTGCTAGTTTGCCAGCTATGTCAGCTATATTTCAAGCACCACTTTTCCTCTTTCAATTACCACTTTGTAATTGACCATTTTTCATTTGTTCTGTTTGCCGTGCTATGCCCTATCAGAGGAGACACTGAAGTATTTAATTGTACATAGATGCATCAGTTTTGGTTAAAGGAATCTTGATAATATACTGAAGAAATGTGTCATGCAGTTTGTATCAATCATGCAAATGTTTTCACAGGTGTAATGTCATTTTTTCTTTTGATGTAACTGTGTGTTTAGCAGTTATTCAACTGTCCAACAGTCCGGTGCATGGATCCAGTGCCCTGTTTTCAGAGGGTGCACTACCATTCCCTTATATACAAATGGCAAGGACTGAAGCTAATTAATACATCAGTTAAGGAAACCAGCAGTAACCACCATTCTGCCATCCAAACAATGTCTTGGAAGACATTGTAGGTCTGCAGCATCACACAGATACTATCAGCAGAACAGTGCAGCCAGAAAGAGGCAGATGGGCCTCCTGGCTAAGGCATTCTGAAGGAATGGTCTAAGGGCCAGACAATCATTAGCAAGTTTCATTTGCATTTTAGTCATTTCAGGAGAGATAAAACAATTGGGAAATAGCTTGATGGTCAGGTAACATCAGAGGGGGAGACAAACTGACTGCCGGGCATTGCAGCACATTAAACTTGTGTCACCACATTCTGTAGTTGATCTGGAATTGCACAATGGGATGGTTGGTGCCAGGATCAAGCAATGTGTATAATGAACTCTGATCCCAGAAATCCATTCATTGAAAAAATTTCCTTAAATGTAGACAAAAATATTGTGGACCAACAGATACACCAGCCAGGGGCAGCCTGAGTGCAAACCATTTGTGGTTATGCCATCCCAATACAGCTGAGGCATGGCTGGTGATGTTGAGAATCTGTGGACTTCACAGTATAAGAGTCATCTGCAGAGGCAGCTGGGTGCCATGACAGGCCATTGCTGAAGTCAGATCATGGGCGCCAATGAGAATACAGACAGCTGCAGGTACAGCATCCCTGCTGCTGTTGAGGCAGATCTTTTTTTAAAAGAGATGCCAGTTGTCCCAGAATGCTGGAAGTCTGAGAGTTCAGAGAAGCTGCACCCATGATACAGGCTTTGCGCTTTCTTGCTCTCTGTGGCGTGGTGCATAGATCGTCGATGCATAAATTACGCAGTAAGGGGTTTGAGACTCAACACCGCCAGAAACAGCTGGGGTTGAGATGTGGATGTGCATTATGAAGGACTATGTGCCAAACATTCTCAACAACAGTGTCAACACAACACAACATCAACAACAATGCTGTCACCACCGCGCGCACAGCAGCGTGCGGTCCGCGGTGCGATGGCGTCACCCGGCCACTGTCTATTTGCAGCACATCTTCCGCCACCATGTCTGACGACTGGGACAAGGTGGTGGTGCTTCGGAAGAAGGCGCCCAAGGCAGCTCAGATGAAGTCGGAGGGAGCTGTGAACCAGGCCATCCGGTCCGGCATGGCCGTGGAAACGCAGCAGAAATGTAAGCTGCGGTTGAAGCAGCGCCCCAAAAGGCCGTGATTGTTCTGCTCAGAGTCCGTCGGGTCGGGACCGGGGGTGTTATTTTCTGTTGGACCCAGCACATGACCGGCCCACAAAGCATTCAGGTAGAAAGTTGGCGTCTCCGTTTCCCAAGATGTGGCACGTGCAGGCGTTTTTTTTTGTATGTTTAGCATTGTTGGTCATTTCTGCGATGGTTTTTAGGACGTAATTATAATCTTGCCTTGGCGAATGTAAGTAGGTAATCATTAAGGTCATCCTGTATGCGCTATACGTGAATGATGGTTGCCTTCTCAGGCGGACTCTCGGACCTCCCCCCTACCAGCAAACTGTCAAGGGTGTTTGTGACAGAAACCGACAACAGTTATGCGCCCACGCGCCCACGTACACTCACAACAAATGTCGTATCGTACAGCTACGAAACAGCTGTCAGCATTCGAGGCTAGCAGTGACGATTCATTTTGGTGCGCGGGTGATCAAGGCCGTTGTGTGATCATGGTGTGGGTGACGCGTCGCTTTAGCCTCACATCATTGATCATCGGCGTCTTCACCAGTTGCATGCCGCTTTCGTTTTCCCTCCGCGCTTGCAGCCATCCGCTCACGCTTGCAGAGAACGTCAGATGACTGGTGGATCGTTCCACCCACGAGCTCAGAGCGTCGCCAGTCGAGTTAACCAAACAGACTTACTCTCTGTCAGTACACCTAGCGTGAGCGTACGGCAGTGTGACCTAGCGCAAGCTTACGACAGTGTGACCTAACGTGAGCATACGGCAGTGTGACCTGGTGTAAGCATACGACAGTGTGACTTAGTGTAAGTGTACGGCAGTATGACCCAGCACGAATGTACGACAGTGTGACCCGGCACGAGTGTACGACAGTGTGCGCATCTCTGGACGCAGATAACGCCGGCACGAACAAACAGCACGTTGTGACGAAGAACACAGCCAAGCTGGACCAGGAGCACGACGAGCTGAAGCATAGCAAGGTGTCGCTGGACGTTGGCAAGCTGATCCAGCAGGGCCGGCAGGCCAAAAACCTCTCCCAGAAGGAGCTGGCCACCGTGAGTTTCCGGCGCCGTAAGGTGTGACGTTTCCGCGACGCATAACGTGTGCTGTCTCCCGGATGGACTTCCTTCATGGATTGGAGGTGCCCCGAAAGTTTATTCAGGCTGTGTAATGGGTTTTTGTGTTGTAGGAACAGCGTGTCGTTACACTCAGGTGTGGCTGTATATCATGTTCAAATCACGGAACTATGTCTTAAAAGCGCAGCCAGGGGATTCTCGCTCAGCGCAGCCGGTGCGTAGCCAGCGGTAAAAGTTGACGTATGGCCAAAGTGCGCACCGTAAACTGTAATCGGCCCCGCTGTGGCCTTAGCAGTCGGCCTGGTTCCGGCAAGTTGGTGCAGAGTCATCTCGCTGATCTCAGTTGTAAGATGGCTTGAACCCATGATAAATGTTATTTACAGGCTATTTACCAGGCGGGTGTGTTTAAAAAAAGAGATGAAAAACTCAATGACAAATCCTTCCAACACGTTTCAGAAAATCAACGAAAAGCCGCAGATCATTCAGGAGTATGAACAAGGCAAAGCTATTCCCAACAATGTCGTCCTCGGAAAGGTGGAGAAGGTGATCGGTAAGTGTCTCTGATTTGGCGCCACTCCACGAGGCAGCCATCGCCCTGGCGAAGTGTGCTGATGTCCCGGCGCACCGTGTCCTCCGCCTGCCACGCCGCGGTGTGTAGCTGTTGTAGGACAGGCAGACGTGCAGACACAGCCTCTATGGAAACTGCCGCTGGCAGCAGCAGCAGCACGGCGCAGTCGCCCTCACCGTGCTACTGTGGCTGTCGAGTTCCGTCTGTCTGTCCCGTCACTCCAGGGCAGAGGCCGGCGGCTGCGCCTTCTCTGCACGTACCCCCGGGCGCCTGGCGACAGATGATTGGTTCTGGGTTTGTTCCTTATCCTTTTCCTTTCAACCACAACAAATCGTCAGAAAGCAGAGGCGCTCTGTCTCGCCTGTGGTGTGGTCGCGTGGCATCTGGGATCCAGGTGGGGGGTGGAAGGGCCCCCGCTCTCCGGGCGGGTCCAGGTCTCGGGGAGACGTACAGCACCTGGTTCGAGTCGCCCGTCCGTCACTCACCAAGGCGTCCCCGGCGGCAGGTATGAAGCTGCGTGCAAGGACAAGGGTCAGCCGCTGTTCGGCGGCCCCAAGAAGAAGTAGTCCTGCTCCTCGCTGCGCCCTGTGGGCCTCCGGCGAGGAGTCGCCCCCGGATCCGGCAGCCGCCGGTGCTGACACGCCCCTTCGGTGCTGGTTTTCCCGGCCAGCCCGCGGCGACGGCGGCGCGCCCCACCCAGCGGGACGCGCCGCCGCCGCCGCCGTCGCCGCCGCTTCGTTCGCCTTACGGCCTGGGATTTGGGGAGCGCCGTGCGCCCCGGGAGCCGCTGCCGCCGGCGGGTGCGTCGGGTGACGCCACGCCGGCCCTGCGCCAGGCCGGGGCCGCGCCGTACGTCAGCCCGCTGGTCCAAAATTTCCTCTCGCGGTGTGCCGTTTGACTGCTGCGCTAGCCGTGCCGGCCGTCTGACGGGAGACTTTGGCTGTTTAGCGTTGCGTGTGTTTGGTTCGTTGGTCGGAACGTGTGCAGGAGAATCTGGCTCCGTCCGATCTGTTCTGCGTTTTCGGTATATCAATGACTATATTTGGACTACGTTTTCGGTATGACCCGAATATAACTTGAGTGACTTGGTGTTGTTTGGTGCTGTGGCTTTTGTGCGGCGGTCTGTGCCAGGGGGTTGCACCTTGACAGCCCTGCTGCTGCGCACCCTCGAGAGAGAGAGAGAGAGAGAGAGAGAGAGAGAGAGAGAGAGAGAGAGAGAGGCAGAGGCAGAGGCAGAGGCAGAGGCAGAGGCAGAGGCAGAGGCAGAGGCAGAGGCAGAGGCAGAGGCAGAGGCAGAGGCAGAGGCAGAGGCAGAGGCAGAGGCAGAGGCAGAGGCAGAGGCAGAGGCAGAGGCAGAGGCAGAGGCAGAGGCAGAGGCAGAGGCAGAGGCAGAGGCAGAGGCAGAGGCAGAGGCAGAGGCAGAGGCAGAGGCAGAGGCAGAGGCAGAGGCAGAGGCAGAGGCAGAGGCAGAGGCAGAGGCAGAGGCAGAGGCAGAGGCAGAGGCAGAGGCAGAGGCAGAGGCAGAGGCAGAGGCAGAGGCAGAGGCAGAGCGAGTCACTGCATATTATGATCTCAATCCTTACCACTCGCCCTCCACTCAGCCCCACGCAAATTGCGAAATAGGAAGGTGCGAGGAAATGCTGTAGAACCCATATGCGGAAACACGCCCATTTTTAACACAGTGCAGCGAAACATCCCACTAGCTCTTCCCCCCCCCCCCTTCTCTGGTCCCACGCTTGGTCTCAGTACACCTCTCTGACCCCACACTTGGTCTCAGTACACCTCTCTGGCCCCATGCTTGGTCTCAGCGCACCTCTCTGACCCCACACTTGGTCTCAGTACACCTTTCTGGCCCCACGCTTGGTCTCAGTGCACCTCTGGTCCTGTGCTTGGTCTCAATATGCCTCTCTGGCCCCACGTTTGGTCTCAGTACGCCTTTCGCGCAGATACGTGCAACCAACGCATGAACTTTCCAAACAGAACGCATGGTGCAGACCTGGAGCCAAACCCTGTAATAGCGCAATACTAATTGAGTGCGCTGTGGAAACCAATTCTGTTTATATTCCAAGTTAACTTAACAGCGAAATAATCTATCTTCGCCAAAAGCAACAATTGGCCGTTGTTCAGTTTAGCGTGGCTGCTCGCCCGACGGGGAGCGCCGTGATCATGGGCGTAGGGATAGGGGGGGGGGGGGCAAGGAGGCCATGGCGCCCCACTTTTCAAGGTGGGGGGGGGGGGGGGGGCAGCAATGTTAACTGTCCCCCACCACATTTTTCAGATTAAGGTTACATTTGGCCTACTTTTGCACTGCATTGAACATGCATGCCGATTTACATGGTTTACCAGCTATCTATCTTAAGGTGCGTCATCTTTTTCGTTTGCTCATTTGCCATTGCTTAATGTTACAGCCGCAAGACCCGGGCCGCACGGCGTGGAGACTGCAACGCCGGACGTCGAGGCTATTATTGCTATCACTTGCGAGCATGCATGCTCAACACCATATTACGTAGTTTTGTTATCAGTAATCATCTCTGACAGGATCTTGAGCGTTTTAAGACGAACATGTGCTAACCATGTTAACACAAGGAACCCCATTTCGTTTATAATCTAGTCAGGGAAAACTAAATATCTGAAGAACACAGAAAAACACGGAGCTGGAATCTATGTGACAATTATCGGACTACCTGCGGTGATCAGGTATGTTGTTGCGTCAATGAGGGTTCCTGTGCTGATCCTGGGCTAACTGTGCGGGTCAGAAGGCGTCCCATGTCAGGGATGGGAACAATGTGATATGATATACCCTGTTAATGCCCCCCGGATCGACCAGGAGATCCCGCCTCGTGCCGCTAGAATGATAGCCAGAAGACACTTCGCGATGGGACGGAATGGCCCTTCGGCCCCTGACCGGGAACGGTAATGTCTCCCTGGTGTTCTACTCAAGAGGCCCCTGTCCCGGAGGGAAATAAGGGGTCTTATTATTGTTGAGTAGTGCCGGGGTCTCACTATTGTTGAATAGGGTAGGTTGAAATGAATTTTAAAAAATCAGCAAGGTCATGCCATGTTTGCCTGAGAACATTTATTTTTTCAGCATGGATTAGTGAAACAAATCACATTGAAAGGGTTGGACATGCCCGCCCGAAACCTCGAGAGCAAGGACAAGGACGGCATGGGCTACAGCTTCCGTAAAACCGAACCGCTTCAGCCACTGCAAGTGTTACCAGACGGCGGACGCTGTGTTAATCTGTCTTCTGGATAGACAAATAGCTGCGAAAACACGAAAAATAGAAATACGGAAACGGCAACGCCTGGGGTCGAGACTTGCGTTTCTAAAATTTTCGAGTGCGCATGCTCAAAATTACGTCACATAACTTGTATTACTAGTCGATTTAAGTGTTTAAAGGTAACCATTTCAGAAGCGTCATTATTTTCGTCCACCGGTGGGACACGGCTAAATATTAACTACTGGGACTCCCCATAGTCCACGGAGCGGACTATGGAGACTGCAACGCCCGGTGTCGAAGTTTTTGTTGCTAAGATTTGCGAGCGCGCATGTTAAAAAACACGCTGCTTAGATTGTGTCACTAATCGATTCTGACTGAATGGTGAACATTCTCTGGCAAGCATGGCTTGACCATGTTAGCACACATTGTTGACCACCTGATCCGCAATCAACTCTTCATCTTCAGATTTGGATCAAACGTATTGATCTACAATCTCCCTTCGCGATGTCCTCAATGTCTTGAGTACCCATCTAAAAAATTTTGACAAAGCTTCTGAATTCTATCGATTTAGAAAGATTCAACGAACCATTGTAAATTAAGAGCGTTGGCGATTTATTGCATGCAGTCGTTTAACGCCTGATTTCTGCGGGTTATTGACCTCAAAATACAAACAGAATTGAGCTCACGGTAGCTCCTGGTTTCTGTTCTGGTTACAAGGTAAAAATAGCAATAAAGCGAAGACAACCGTCAACAAGGCAGCTATATCCGGGGATTCTGGGGGGATCACCACTAGATGGGCTTTTGTCAAACTTGTGTTCCCCTTTGGCAAGGGTCTGGCTACGCCCCTGCCTACACACAAAAACAGATCAAGTCGTATACGCTGCATGATGGACAATGCGTTAACCGCTGCGCGTCTGGGAAACCAGAGGTACGGGGTTCGATTCCCCGCGGTTCCCGCCCTCCCTGCCAGGGTGAGAGGTAGGCGACGCCATATAGCCTCAGCAGCTGAGTGCGTCGTAAAGCCCTAATGACATGACATGACACATGATGGGCAATGAAGTGTCCGTTGGGCTAATTCATCCCTACGGCAGACAAAGTCCCGGAGGCTATTTTTCTGCGATGGTGTGGTGTGAGGGAAGATAGTTCGGAAAGAGATACTATTGCAGGTGTCCAACACGTGTTTCATACACCATGTAGTAGTAATGCTGGTCCAGAAGTATGCAACAAAGTAGCCATACGATCAGATCGCATTCAGTCATGCGGGAGACATCCGGGCCAGGGCAGTGGCCACCGACAGCGAACGGGAGCAGGGCCTAGATAAGGAACATATGACAGATGGGCGTCATTATGTGGCTTGATTCTTAACAGAGAATCTCCAGTTTTATGACTTTTTTCACATTGTTGCTAGCAGTTTCAATCGCCGAATTTGTTTCCCCCTAAAATGCTGCGACATGTCCTACCTCTTGAAAAGCAGCCAGCGAAATGAAGGAACATGAATAATCTGTCGCACTGTGAGTCATCGATCCACTTTCAAAATTCTCATCAGCCTATATCCAGACCGTATTTTGGCATCTACACTGTGGAGGCAGATGCTTCCTTAATGACCTAAAATGCCCACCCGCTCGTGGAATTTCGCCTCCCCAGGAAAGACAATGTTAAAATGGACGCATAATATAGGGAAGCTGGATAGCCTGATTTGCTAAATGACAGATGAGCCGAATAGGCAAGATTGTACACCAGTGCCAAACAGCTCTAGATGCATATCTAGCAGAGCAGCCGTTACATTTGAATAAAGAGCGATAACAACCTCCATCCCTTCCCCCCGCCGGTCATCAGGCTCGCTTTCCAGAAAACGTGCCTGAAGTAACCCTGAGCTTGACCCCCCTCACTTTAGAAACGTTCCTACGTCTATGACCAAGATGACGCCAGCATGACGTCAGTCCCGGTGCATCTGAGATTATTTAGCTGCCAGAGCCTCGCCAGGCTGGCCTCACGTGGTCGCCCGTCGCAGGGGGAACACCCGATCCAGTGGCACTGGTTGAAGGACCGGGTGAAGGAGATGTTCCGATCGTTTCATCTCCACCAGTTTGTTGGAGACTCCACCTTTCTTCTAGGCCACTTTTAGACGCGGTCATTTGTAAGTCAGATGCCGTCGTTTAGCATATTGGAGCTATTAAATGCGCTCTTATCCCTCGCCATTTTGTTCGCGCGCTCTTACTTTTGCCAAAATACCGTGTCAGGGCTAACCAAATCCTCCCTCGACCGTTGACAAACATTTTTCATGTTTATTTGCTTCGTCATTTGTACTACGCCGACTGGTCTGGTGTTTTGAGCATCCCATTAGTCGCTGATATGTGGTCCTGCCTGCCTGACTGTGTTCTACCAATCACTGACAAACACGCCCCGACCGAGCTTATGTCAGTGGGGAGCCCAGGCGCACCAGCTGTCCCCCCGGTGGTCCTTGACCTTATGACACGCGGGGGGGGGGGGCGTGTCTGAGATTGTGAGGGGAGATCGCCGGCTTTCCGCTCCTTGGACCGGGTGGTGAGGTCGGCGATCAGGCGTGAATCAGGCGATCAGACGTGCCGGGCGGAAGCCGAGGAGAGGCCGCATGAGCAGAGGAGCAGTGCCCTGTGCCGCGTTATCCGTCCGATGTTAGCGGGAAGAGGAACAGTACACACAATCTTCCTGCCTCCACCCCGGATGAGATGAATGCCTACTTTATCAATGTCGGCCCCCGTGTTACAGTCAGCCTGGTCGTTCTCGGGCAGCCACCTGACGCCCCATGCCGCCTGCCCAGAGTGGGTGCTTGTGGGTGCCCAGACTGGGTGCCCAGAGTGGGTGCCCAGAGTGGGTGCCCAGAGTGGGTGCCCAGAGTGGGTGATTGAGATTTCCGGATGACTGGTGTGACCCTTGGCGGGCTGCATGAGGTCATATTCCCCATGATGCGTTCTAGAGCGTGTGGCCCTAATGTATTTGTGTCCTGCTCCCCTGTTTTGACATCATCGGCCACATCCTTCTCCATATTGTCAACACTTGCCTGACCACCTGTGATTTTCCTATTCCTAGAGGCACTCCATGGCTCATCCTATTTTTCAAATCAGGAGAGCCAACCCTGGTTTCCAAAAACTATGCCAGTTCTGACGTGCCTATCGTAGCCAAGCTTGTCGAGCGTGTGGTGCAGCACAAGGTGTTCCCCTACATGTCGGCAGTCATTTTCTGTCCTCCTCCCAACATGGTTTCCGAACATGCCGTTCCACAGAGGCTGCTCTGCTCACCGAAAACAACCACATCTTTTCCAGCATGGAACGTGGCCATCTTTCACTCCTATGCTTCTTGGGTCTCAGTAAATATTTCGACGTTATTCCTCATTCTTACCTACTTTTCAATCTCCAGCTCTATGACATGGATTCGAATGGGCTCTCCTACCTTTTTGGTTCTTCCCAGCTAGTCAGCATCTCTTCTCCTTCTGGTGACAAAGTAGTCTAATCCAATGCTACGGTTCCAATACTATGGTCCCAAATACTATGGGAGTCTTTAAAAGATCACCTCTCAGTCCTCTTTTATGTACAACCTTTGCCAAAGACCTCAGCCTGCACGCAAGAGACGCTCATGTGACCCAGCGCGTTGACGACGCCCAAATCCGTATATTCGATACCAAACGCAACCTTAATTCCCTCATCCAACGCATGAAAATCACCCTGTCCTCTCTGGCATCATAGTTTCATATTCACGTTCTCAAGCCCAACGCATCCAAACCGTACTCCTTCTCATCAGATAGAACCCCTCCGGGCTTTCACCTGTCAGCGTACAAGTCGGTTGGGCGTGATGCAGTCCAAACATGTCTCGGCCTTCCGGTCGGTCTCCGCCACCTGAGACAATTCCCCCCCACAAGTGCTGAAAGGGGATCTATGCGTATGATATATATGTACATATCCCCTTCCTGCTCGTCAACATTCCTTGCAGCCATATTGGTGAAATGATTATGAACTGGGTCACCGTTAGGCAGCAGTTTTACTTTCTCTCTGCGTTTGGCATCGTTTCATTTTTTCTTTCTTTGGCGTTTGGCGCCCAAAAGTTGTGTTTCAGATGAATGGGGATATAACACAAGTGGTTTGAGACAGTTACAGAAAATGGCGTGCGCGATGCTCTCGTCTGTTCGCGTCCGGACTTGTTGAAACACAATGTTGCTCGCTGCCAGAGCTACTGATTTTGTCGGAGTTTGGACGAGTGGCAGGTTGGTAGAGCTGTTGAGTGCTGTGACCCAGTGTGGCCCACCACGTCCGTAATGCCTGTCGGGCAGTGGTGACCTTCCGGATGTGCCGACAAGCTCGGCCGGCGCCGTGTGACGGTGCCACGAGTGGTGCGGCCTGCGGGCCGTCGTGATCACCTCTGCTGGCCATCCGTGCCGACGCGGCCGCGCCACTTTCGCCGCCCGCGCAGCCAGGGTGACGCCGTAACTGGTTCCGGCGGCGCGCCGCCCGGCTGCCCCCGGCGCCCCCCCCCCCCCCCCTCCATGACACTCCGACCCGCGGCGGCGCTGCTGGATCATACTGTGATGGCGCGTGGAAAAGGGGAAGATGTCTTCAGAAGCATGACGCTGCATTATTCTGTCGTGATAATCGCATCTCATCGAGGGCTTATCTTACGTTCTCGAGGGCCTATGTGGGCTATAGGTGGGCCAGCAGAAGTGGAGAGTTTGGGCTAAAACGATGCGGAAGGCCGTTTTTTGTATTTCAGAGCGGAACAATGACTCATTACAATGGTTGCAATCTTACTGGAGCATGCATATCTCCGCGGCACAATTGTTGAAACGCTTTGCGGCAAGGCGCATTCTCTGCCATCGCGCACCATCCGCCCGAACTTCGGCAGTCACTGGCGCGGGCACACAAAATACACGTCACTGGAATCAACGGCAATACATTCTCTCAGCACCTTAGATTTAAATGTACTGCGGCAATAAAGGACACTTCTAGAATTTGTCGCTAGCTGCGCGACAACAGTCATCCTTCTCGAGCCGAACGCACTCATGCAGACGATGTGAGCCCGACGATGGACCTCGGTGACCCGTACAAAACACATTCTCGCTCGTATTCATACACTTTCACCTCATGTTCCTGGGACTTGCCCAGTCGTTGTGTCACGGCAGAGGCGCGCTCGTGAGCGATATCGGTCCACGCGCAACGCGGCGCTTTTTCCCGTCGGCGCTGCCCGCATGACGTCACGCGGCATCATTTTCCAGAAGAGCAGCACGCCGCCGCCGATCCCTTCCGCGATTACCTCAGTCAAACGCGCCCGCCGGCCGGCCGCAGGCAACGGCGACAGCGCGGCGCGGCGCGGCAAGCACGGCATGACGTCAGCGGCGCCCGTCGTGCCGCCTCGTGGCATATGCGTGCCGCGCTCCGGAGGACGCGTCGCCCGAGTGAGCCGCACCGCGCGTCGTCGGCCGCGGGCAGCCTTGCCGGCCTGGCCAGCGCCCCTGCCGCCGCCCGGGCCGCCGCCCGGGCCCTCACGAGCGCCGACCGCCGGCCAGCAGCTGGGGCGCCGCCACCTGCGTGATGACGCGTTCGCCTAACGTGCTGATGTCGGCCAGACCGCGGAACCAGGGTGCCGGCCGGAAGTCGGCATTTCCGGCGGCCGGCGCCGCCTGCTGGTGACCGGCCGCCGCCGGCCGCGGCACCGCCTGCTGATGGCCGGCCGCCGCCTGCTGATGACCGGCCGCCGCCTGCTGGTGACCGGCCGCCGCCTGCTGGTGACCGGCCGCCACGTGCTGATGACCGGCCCGCCGCCTGCTGGTGACCGGCCGCCGCCTGCTGGTGACCGGCCACCGCCGGCCGCGGCACCGCCTGCTCGCGGCGGCCGCCGTCGGGGATGACAGGCCGGCGCCGGCTGAGAAGCGGCTTCTTAGTCCGCTTGGGGTGTGGCGCCGACGTGGGCTTGGTGCGCGCGGCGGGGGCGAACCGGGACTCGAGCTGGGTGGTGTGCTTCCGCGGCTGGTCAGTAGTGATAGTGTGCTTCCGCAGCTGGTCGGCGGTGATGCTCAGCTTCTGCGGCTGGTCAGTGGTGATGGTGTGCTTCCGCGGCTGGTCAGTGGTGATGGTGTGCTTCCGCGGTTGGTCAGTGGTGATGGTGTGCCTCCGCGGCAGGTCAGTGGTGATGGTGTGCTTCCGCAGCTCGTCGGTGGTGATGCTCAGCTTCCGCGGCTGGTCAGTGGTGATGGTATGCTTCCGCGGCTGGTCGGCGGTGATGCGATACGGCTGCAGAGTGGCCACATACTCGTTGACAGTGGTCGGCCCCGTCGGGATCGGCAGGCGGTGCTCGGTCGTGGTTTCTTCGGGTTTATGTGTCGCAGGCTGCGTGGTTGGCCTGGTCGTTGTGACTTCCGCGAAAACTTCTTGCTCTGGGATCTCGGGGGCGGTGCTGAAATCGGCAGTCACGAACGGGGACTGTGTATTGACGTCGCCGGTCCCCGTGATTTCGTCTTCACCCGATTCCCTTCCTGCCGTATCTTCAACAGACAGAGCCCCAGAGACGGTGAACGTCTCCACACCGAGCGCCGGGACAGCCGTGGCCCCCTCCACAGAGTCCGCGGTCTCCTCCGCGCCGGTCGGCTTCCTGTTCACGTAGTACGTCTTGGCGCGACTGCGGCCAGCGGGCAGTCCCGAGGCGAAGTACTGCCGAAACCCGTGCGGCACCTGCGTCTGCGCCAGCGGCTGGGGCAGGCGCGGTATGTGGCCGCCAGGCGTCAGGGACAGGTGCAGCGCTCGTGGCGTGGTGCCGCTCACCGCCGTCGTCTCTGACACCGCGCCGCGGGTGACGGGCGGCGTGGTGAGGGCCGTCTCTGTGCTGATCTCCGCGGCCTCCTCGCCAGCCGCAACCGTCGTGGTCGCGTCCGCCGTAGCGGCGCCGGCCGCGCCAGCAGCAGCCCCCGGCCGCAGCCGGCCCGCGTCTCGCCGCTGGCTGACTCCCACCGGCACGGCGTCCCTCAGCGAGGGTTCGGTCGGCGCCTCCAGCGGCACGAAGCTGCGCGCCGGCGGCGGTAGCACCTGCGGCCGCAGCGTGTGCAGGAACGGCCGGCTGTGCGTGCTGAGAGGCACGCTCAGTGGACCGTCGAACAGGCGCGCGCCGCGGCCGTCGCCGCCCACAGTGGTACGTGCGGCTGGCGGGCTCGTCGCTGACCAGGCCGCGCCGCCGCAGCCAGGCGGACAGGTCGGCGGAGCGCACGCGGCGCCGGTGGGCGCGCCGCGCCGCTCCCTGCGACCGGCGGAGCGACTGGAACGGCATCAGGGAGAACGGCAGCTGTGACCAGTGCCAGAGGCCGCCGGGGGACGCCTTCCGGTGCCGGCGCCGGCAGGAGCAGCGCTGGCCCCGAGGACGTCGCCGGCGCCCCCGCCCCGGCACCGGGCGGCGCGGCGCCAACTCCGTCTCTTCGAAGCTCGGCTGGTAGTCGGCTATCTCGTTCTCGACGACGAAGTGCTCCTCGGCGTCACCGTGGCTGCCGTGCTCGTGTCTGTCATTGCCGACGGGGTGGTGCGGGTGGTGGTGCGGCTCGTCGGCGGCGGGATGGTGCGGATGGTGCGGCTCGCGTCCGTCCCCGCCGACGGGGTGGTGCGGGTGGTGATGCGGCTCGTCGGCGGCCGGCGGCGCCGTCGTACCGTCCGCGTGGTGCGGACTGTCCACCGTCGTCTCTAGCGTCCAGAGCCCGATGTTGGCCGTCGTCTGCGGCCCCTCCGGGCTGGTCACTACCGTCTGCAGCTGCGACGCCTGCTGCTCGGCGCGCGCCGCCGCCGCCGTCGTGGCGGGTAGCGCTGTACCGGGCGGCGCGGGGAGCACACCGCTCCCGCTGCCGTACGCCGCGGTGGCCACCACCTGCGGCTCTGCGCTGGCCGGCGCCGACTCGCTCCGCCGGCCTGTGTAGGTGGCGGGCGAGGGCGGGGCGTGGCCTCCGCCGCTCGGCAGGAGAGTGTGGTGGGAGATGGTGACGTCGGGCCCGCCGCCGTGCGCCGCCGGACTGATGGTGCGGGTCACGCTGAGGTAAGACTGGCCGGCCGGTGCTAGGGACGCGTACGACTGCTGGGCCGGTGCTAGGGACGCGTACGTCTGCTGGGCCGGCGCTGGGGTTGAGTAGGGCTGCTGGGCTGGGGCTGAATAGGACTGCTGGGCTGGGACCGGGGTTGAGTAGGACTGCTGGGCTGGGATTGAATAGGACTGCTGGGCTGGGGCCGGGGTTGAGTAGCCCTGCTGGGCTGGGGCTGGATGGGACTGCTGGGCTAGGGCCGGGGTTGAGTGGGACTGCTGGGCTGGGGCTGAATAGGACTGCTGGGCTGGGGCCGGGGTTGAGTAGGCCTGCTGGGCTGGGGCTGAATAGGACTGCTGGGCTGGGGCCGGGGTTGAGTAGGACTGCTGGGCTGGGGCTGAATAGGACTGCTGGGCTGGGGCCGGGGTTGAGTAAGACTGCTGCACTGCAACCGGGGCGATGTACGTCTGTCCAGTCTGTGGTGCTGAGTTCTTATTCCCAGTCTGCTGGGGTGAATACGTATTGACAACCTGCGGTGCTACGTAAGTTTTCGCGGGTTGCGGTGCTACGTAAGTTTGCCCGGCCTGCGGTGCTGCGTACGTTTGCCCGGCCTGCGGTGCTGCGTAAGTTTGCCCGGCCTGCGGTGCTACGTAAGTTTGCCCGGACTGCGGTGCTGCGTAAGTTTGCCCGGCCTGCGGTGCTGCGTAAGTAGTTTGCCCAGCTTGCGGTGCTGCGTACGTTTCCCCAGCTTGCGGTGCTGCGTAAGTTTGCCCGGCCTGCGGTGCTGCGTAAGTTTGCCCGGCCTGCGGTGCTGCGTAAGTTTGCCCAGCTTGCGGTACTGCGTACGTTTGCCCGGCCTGCGGTGCTGTGTAAGTTTGCCCGGCCTGCGGTGCTGCGTAAGTTTGCCCGGCCTGCGGTGCTGTGTTCTGAGTCGTTGGCGCTCCGTACGTCTGCCCGGCGGTTGATGTGGCGGTAGAGTACGCTGGTCCGGCCGGGGACGTCTGGGGGGAATAGGTCGGGATCAACTGCGGCTGGAAGGTGGGGCTAGGGTACGTGACCGGTGCCGGCGTCGTCGCCGGCGCCGCCAGCGGCTTATGGACGGCAGGTATGGCGTTTGGATGAGCCGCCGGCCTGTTGTAACTCGGCGAGGGGGCGTCGTAAGTCTGCGAGGGCTCGTCAGAAGTCTGCGAGGGAGCGTCGTAAGCATGCGAGGGAGCGTCGTAGCTCTGAGAAGGTGCTCCGTAGCTCTTCGTTGGTGTCCCGTAGGCCTTCGTTGGCGTCCCGTAGGCCCTTGTTGGCGTCCCATAGGTCTTCGAGGGCACGCCTGAGCTAATCTTGAGGTAGCCGCCGCTGGGGGTCTTGTGCGGCCGCCGCTTCCTGTTGCGTTGTCGGCGGCGGGTGTCGGGCCGGCGCGTGGTCGACACCAGTCGGTCGCGCCCGCCGGCCGCGTCGTAGTGCCGCTCGTCAGCAGGCGTCAGCGCAGCGGCGGCGGCCGGGGTCGGCTCGGCGGGGACCCCAGCTCTGGTAGTTCCGCCCGCGCTCGGGCGCGGCGGGGCCGCCGTGGGTCGCGCGGTGCCGCGGCCATTCTCCGCCAGGTGTGTCAGCACGGGAGAGACGCTGGGCGACGGCTGCGCAGTGGCGCGCTCCTGCGCCCACAGCCCGTTGATGGCGTTGACGCGGCTCTTGTAGGTCTCGATCCTGGCCGGCGCCTCGTCGTTGTCGGCCCAGGCGGGGGCGGCGGCGGCGCGGCGCGCCTGCGCCAGCAGCGCCGTCACGTTCACCGCCGGCCTGTACGTGCTAACGTGACCGGCGAACTGGGGCCGGCGCGCCGGCGCCGCCGTCTCCTCCAGCGCCGGTAGCCGCTCGCTCGCTCGGAACGGCTCCCGGCGCCGCGCAGCCGGCGCCGGTGCCGAGCCCGCCGCCGGCGCCGGCGCTCGCGGCGGGCTCGGCGGCGCGCCGGTGACGGGCTGGAACTCGTCTGCGGCGCTGCTGGCGCTGGTGCGCCGGCTGGCCACGAACGGCGGCTTAGTGCTGAGCCGAGGGCTACCGCGGAACTGGCGCAGCGCCGTCGGCGCCGGCAGCCGTTCCACACGGCCCCGACTCGCCGTGGCATAGTTGTCGCTGGGCACGGGCGCGGCCGGCTCCCCACCGCCGCCGACGCTCCGGGCCTCAGGTGCGCTGCGGGCGGAGACGGTCGCCGTCAGGAGGGGGGGCTAACGGCAATGGAATGTGGTGGCTGACATTAGTGAGAGGTGGCCACTGACGCCAGTGGAAGGTGGTGACTGGAGTCGATAAAGGGGAGTGGCTGGCCGGCGGAGAGGGAGAGTGATGGCTGACGTCAGTGGAGAGTGATGGCTGACGCCAGTGGAGAGTGATGGTTGACGCCTGTGGAGAGTGATGGCTGACGCCAGTGAAGAGTGATGGCTGACGCCAGTGGAGAGTGATGGCTGACGTCAGCTGCAAGTCTGTGGTCAGCACACTCTGATGTGTTTTGTTCGGTGTGTTACGGTACTGGCCCCATGGTGTATGATGGCGCTTTACTGTCATAGTACGAAAGTGCTTGTTCAAATACAAAAGTGTTCACGTGTCTGATGCTGCAATTTTTCTTGCTGAAAAGGCGCTTGTGGTAACACTAACGACCTACTTGCTCGATGAAAAAAAAACTTAACAGGCCCACTGCCTTTAATAAGTGAAACACAGAAATTCAAGTAACGTGTCTCTGTCATTGCGACACATCCACATCTCCCCACATTTGCGGACATCGTCCTCCCTCACCTGGTTGTACTCCGTACACCACTTCCTCGCTCGAACTTCATATGACTGCGGTGTTCCTCTTGTTGAGTCTGAAACTCCTGCAGGATAGGTAGGGTCGTGTCAGTCAGACGGGCATAGACGACTAGGGCGGTCACGTTTCCGGCGTACTCGACTTCATCATCTGACACTGAGTGTCGGTCAGACGGACATAGACGACTAGGGCGGTCACGTTTCCAGCGTACTCGACTTCATCATCCGACATTGAGTGGTAATGTGCTGGGTGCGCCCTCGCGCACCTAGCTCAAGGAGGTTACATGTCCAGGTTAGGATGTACTTCGGGAACCAATCTGAAGTTTGACCTTATTTAATCATATACGACCTGAGGGTCATAACCCTGCGACGTCAAGTTTTAGCAGTGAGTTTATTTTGTGAATTTTACGTCTCAAGCTCTCTAACCTGTTTGGATTTTAGAGGGAGGGGTCAAATTGACCCCTCATCCGAGCGCGTGACATTCTCCGACCACCTATGCGCGTGTTAACTGGAGGCGGCGGGTGATAAATGACTGCATGGAATGATCCGCCGCTGCTATATGGTTTACGATGGTTCAGTGGTCTCTCCTTAAGCCGACAGAACTCAGAGGGTTTTGCCATGTTTTATGAGTTCTCCAGAGATATTGAGTGCCCCATGAGCGAAGATGAACGCAAGAACGTAGATCGAAATGGGTTCACAAATTAAACACAGCCAGCTCATATTCGTCGGGGAATGTTCAACCTTCGATCACAATCACGATTAGAGGAATTATACAACAAATTCTCGCAGACCCTGATGCTCGGCGTTGCAGTCTACGTAGGCCGCACGAGGTCGGTTAGGCGGCTAGCACTAGGCGGCGGCCAACGGGTGTATCTGGGTCTATTTGTGTGAATCTATCAAACAATGACGTATCTGAAATCAGTTGCTTTGAATGTTTTAGGAAATTATTTCGTACGTTCTGAACGCAATCCTATCATATTCCACCATAATGGCCGAATGCCCCCGTCCCCTGTTCGGCAGCAGCGGGTCGGCAGTGCGCGCGGAGGTGCGCCACCGAACTTTCTCCGGTAAACGCAGTCAGCCTCACTACGGCCACGGATAATCGGAGGAGGACAGGATGTGGCTGACTTTTCTTTCAAACTAGCATTCAAACAATGCCGCCCACTGTCCAGTCCTGAAGAAAGCTACGCGGCCATTTGGTGCCTTGAGGCGTAGCTCCTGTAATTTGTGCTTACAGGCGTGACAGGTATCCAATGTGGTGTGTGTACCGTGGTTCTAATTCAACGTCTTTAAACTTTAGGCTGGAACGGAATCAGAGCACGGTGATTAACGTGAGGTGGCCGCGATACCCAACCAATGAAAAATTGCAAGATCTTCACCTGTTTACACCATAGACAACCACCCAGCTAGCGATTGGGGTAAACTCAACTCAATTCGAGTGGTGGATGGGCGCAAAGACCATGTGAAATAGAAATATCGACGGATACTCAGCTCCTGCATGCTCCATCCGTTACTCCTCGCGTACAACCTTCAGTGCCCCCGAAATATCGTTGAAAAATCAATGGCCGGTGTCGCCAATCCACTGCAGTTAGTGGACAGACAGCTGAACCTGAAATCTATCAACCTCCCATGCATGATCGCAATAGGATTTAAAGCCAAGGGCACGCTTTTTTGCCTCGAGGCGGATTTGCTAGCTTAGCAGTCCCTGAGATACAACAGTACTTAGAATCTCTGTCCTATCCTGCTACGTGTAAACCATTTGAAATTCAGCTTTGCTCTTGGCTGCAGCAACTTGACGCAACATCTCTACATTCCGCTCACTTGAAGCCGTAACGCTCGTAGCTCCACAAGCACATTTACCATGCCTCGTTCTCGAGACCGTGATGCAGAGACCGAGATTGTGGTGCCCATTCATCACGCCTCTACTGCCGGCGCCATTTATGGTGCAAGACCGTTGTATGCTCATCTCGACACGTTCCTGTCATTAAAGCTTATTAGCTGGTCCATAAGGCAGTTTCCATGATACACGCTTTCCTTACATCCGCAACCAAACAGATACTGTCGGTTTGGTTTCACCCACGGAAAGCACGGTCGCAGTTCCACGAGGATGCTCCGCCATAAACGAATTTCCCTTCATTATTACTGTTGGCCCCATAGTTCTGTGAAATATCTCCGTTGTGCCCGCCCTAGGGACGGGATCTGGCCTGCCGGTGTCCTCTAAATATCTCCGTTGTGCCCGCCCTAGGGACGGGATCTGGCCTGCCGGTCGTCCTCTAAATATCTCCGTTGTGCCCGCCCTAGGGACGGGATCTGGCCTGCCGGTCGTCCTCTAAATATCTCCGTTGTGCCCGCCCTGGGGACGGGATCTGGCCTGCCGGTCGTCCCCTAAATATCTCCGTTGTGCCCGCCCTGGGGACGGGATCTGGCCTGCCGGTCGTCCTCTAAATATCTCCGTTGTGCCCGCCCTGGGGACGGGATCTGGCCTGCCGGTCGTCCTCTAAATATCTCCGTTGTGCCCGCCCTAGGGACGGGATCCGGCCTGCCGGTCGTCCCCTAAATATCTCCGTTGTGCCCGCCCTAGGGACGGGATCTGGCCTGCCGGTCGTCCTCTAAATATCTCCGTTGTGCCCGCCCTGGGGACGGGATCTGGCCTGCCGGTCGTCCCCTAAATATCTCCGTTGTGCCCGCCCTGGGGACGGGATCTGGCCTGCCGGTCGTCCTCTAAATATCTCCGTTGTGCCCGCCCTGGGGACGGGATCTGGCCTGCCGGTCGTCCTCTAAATATCTCCGTTGTGCCCGCTCTAGGGACGGGATCTGGCCTGCCGGTCGTCCTCTAAATATCTCCGTTGTGCCCGCCCTGGGGACGGGATCTGGCCTGCCGGTCGTCCTCTAAATATCTCCGTTGTGCCCGCCCTAGGGACGGGATCTGGCCTGCCGGTCGTCCCCTAAATATCTCCGTTGTGCCCGCCCTAGGGACGGGATCTGGCCTGCCGGTCGTCCTCTAAATATCTCCGTTGTGCCCGCTCTAGGGGACGGGATCTGGCCTGCCGGTCGTCCTCTAAATATCTCCGTTGTGCCCGCCCTAGGGACGGGATCTGGCCTGCCGGTGTCCTCTAAATATCTCCGTTGTGCCCGCTCTAGGGACGGGATCTGGCCTGCCGGTCGTCCTCTAAATATCTCTGTTGTGCCCGCCCTAGGGACGGGATCTGGCCTGCCGGTCGTCCTCTAAATATCTCCGTTGTGCCCGCCCTAGGGACGGGATCTGGCCTGCCGGTGTCCTCTAAAACCTCACAATCTGCAAATAAAAAAGAGATGAGATCAACACTCGTAACATTCCTGATCAGAATGTGCACAGCTATCAGAAAAACGGCAAATGTGGACTTAGAAAATGCTACGTTTGTACCGGCTCCAGTGCTGACATTGTAATGCAGCGCATGGGTTATCTCGGCTGTACAAGATTTCCACGCGGTCCACTGAGAACCCCTCCCCCCCCAGGAAGAGGGTTCGTCACCCATTGCCTTCAAGCGGAGGACCGAATAGCCGCGAGGAACTGGGAGTTGCTACGATGCCGCATTCTCTTCCCTTTTTTGATCTCCCACTCCCAAATAATTCCATCATTTGCTGGCCACGCTTCCTCCAACCTCTCTTCAGCAACACGGCGTCTCCCTGGGCCGTCTGCATCCCACCAATCGCACCCATGCATAAACGTCTATACGCCTAAGCATTCACCCGCTCAGAATGGTATGTTGTCTGCACAGGATCATCTCTCAAGCATATGCATCATTGTCTCCTCTGCCGTGCGTCCGCCGAACACCCTCCGTGGCTTCACATGTCTGGAGACTTTTATTTCCAGTGTCTTTACATGCCTGGGCACTCTTATTTGCGGTGTCTTCACACGCCTGGGTGCTTTTATTTCCAGTGGTTCCAGCGCGCAACAGCTTTAGTCTGCATGCAGGTCAATGATCAAACCAAGGGCCGCCACGTCCATTCACGGTCCACACAGTTCTACCAACGACACGCATCGGTTTGCAGCCTCCAGCCGTCCGCACACTTCTCCCTATCAGGCTCGCACCCTACTGCGCTCCCCAGAGGTGTCAAGTGGTGTTCTTTTGGGTGGGCCACCGGCCCCCCAAGTCTTAATAGCTTTCAAAACAAACTTTGCACCCCCAGCGTACCAGAGCCCAAATGTGCGCGGCAAGTTAACAATGGGGTAGTGACTGATTCAAAATGGAAAAGAGGCCCCGAAGATACGCTTTCCACGTAAAATAAACCAGAGGGATGGAACAAATTACATTTAACTCATGTGCAAATAGCTTGTAAAGCTAATACTGGGCATCTGCCTCAAAACTTGCCCATTGCGTATTTGTTTTTGTCCGACGAGCCTCCACGCCTGACATCGTAATGCACGCAAACGTTCAAGCAGGCAAACAAATCCGTGATATACAGATAACAGTATCGCAACAGGGGTTCAAAGGGGTCACATGATTTTTAAATGATTAAAGGGGTCGACTGAGGCTTGAAATTTACCTCAATAATTCAAACAAAAATTCCCGCCAAATGCCGTTCCTTAATAAACGTGTGACAGCATCGTAAAGAGGAAAGGTCTTTCTCGTGTCACAGCGACAAGGAATTTTATGCTTGAGAGTCTTTGTCTGGCGTCTAAGCGGCGCGTTCTATTACCTGGACATTTTCTGTCCCCATGGCATGGGGCAGTGGGGGAGGGGTCTGATCCCACCGCATCCTTAAGCATGCCATTTTTACATCTATGATCCCATGCAATCTACTTCGTCCATCCATGGAATGGATGGACGACCATGGCGTCGCCACGGAGGATGTAACGGGCAGCCGATTCCTTCCAAACTTGAGAATGAACGGTCGTTTAAATCCTGGTCGTTTGAGAAATGCGGGGCTAGATCGGATTGGTTACTGTTTTGAGACATTGTCTTACACAGATAGTTCTGACTGGAGCTGCTCCGATGCGCACCAGGGTCTTTGACAGTGCTTCTCATGATCAATGCCCCTGCGTCGGCCAAAGGTGGTTAATTAGAACCATGAATACCAGTGAAAGAATACGGCAACGGGCGGCGAAGATTGCCGGGGGTCAAAAATATTCTGCTATTTGAATTTCATTATTCGTGGAAAGGATGTGATTCACATTTGTGCACATGAAGGTGTTTTTGAGGCTCACGCACGTTCACATCAAGGTTTTTCAAGGTTCACATAGTTAAGGTTTGGGTTTTATTAAAGTAATAACGTATCTGAACCAAGCATCACTCACACCTGATGCACTCTAACGTCCCAGTCTCCATCTAAATCGTACGAATGGAACGGCGCGTGGACGGACATTCTCTTCCAGTGGGTGCTGTATATGGTGTTTGTGCTGGGGGACCGATTGGGTGGTATAAGTCGATATTCGGCAGTCATGAGCCTTTGTGTGACCTCATTAGTTTGTATTTCTCAGAATCAGGTACCACCACTCCGCTTGACGCGTTAATTGTAAAGCCATCAAAGTTGGACATCCCTTTAGGCGCGTTCGACAGCTGGGGAAGGCTGGACGGTCAGGACTAAGTTCGTCTAATCGTGAAAGGATGCATGCGATGGGTCAGCAGTGTGGGTGAGTGGGTTAGTTAACTTCAGGGTTTGAAATGCAATATTTCTCCGTGATTTTTGTCTCTAAGCACAACACGCACCGCGTCGAACTATATACATATATATATATAGGTCAACAGAATCATTGCGGAATCATGCGAAAGTTACACCGCCCATGTAAAAACTACAAAAAACTTGCTTAATGTTCACTCCCTTTCTTCGTTTACTTCCATAATACACATAAATACCATGCAACTTTCGGACTCTGGCGATCGACCCGTAAGTTCTGTCTTAACGTATCGCTGACTTCCACGTCAGGGGATCTACCTATAGATTGACAACTGCGTTCGCTGCACGAATTAGCGTCATGAGCATTTAGTTTGATTTCTTGTATCGTCCTTTTCACACTATAATTATCAGACAGAAAGTCGATTGGTGCCTATTAGTCCAAAGCTATTTTATTCTAAAGCACACAAAAACATAAGAATATGAGGGAAACCCATCACTGGTCATCACTGCTGTCAAAATAGACAACATGTTTTATTACAGAGACGTTTTTGTTTCGTCATCACGCACCTATTTGTCAATTGACCTTTTTGAATTTGGTTCCATTAGTCCAGATCATAAAGTACCACAAACCTCTAGTAAAGAACACGCACATGATGACAAAAAAGGACATTTCTGAGGAAAATATCACCGGCTATTTTGATCGGGCTGACGACTTCCCGTGGGTTCATTCCTGTTTCTCATAGTTTCCGTGTGCCTCAGATTCGATGCCAGATAAGCTCGCGGTCGAATTATGCTGGTGTGAAATGCAGTAAATCAGCTGTGAGTCCCCACTCTGCATTATCCGACGACTCTGTTCGGCCGCTGCTCAAAACGATACGGCTCCGCGACCTTGACAAATTCACGATTTCCGCCAGTACGATTTCGGCCGTCGCTCACTCACTGTCTCAACAAATGCTGTTGCACACTTGTGAGGGAGGAGCCCGCAGGCGGCCGAGGCCATCCCCACCCGGGATGATCGGCTGACCTCGCCGCTGCCAGGAAAACATGGAAAATATCAACGAATTAAAATTGATCCCCACCCCAGCGAAGGGTATTTATCCGGCCACCCGGGTGCGCATTAAACAGCGGCCACTCGTATGAAAGGTCGAAATGGATGACATTAGATGAAATTTACCACAGAAAGTCAGCTCGGAACAATAGTGGACGAAGCACGATTTTTTCGAGCTTGCAGCCCTTCCTGGAGGGGTCAGCCGGGTTACCTCCTCACAGCCCTTCCAGGCGACTTTGACTCTTTGAGGAGCTGACACACATGAGTGACACTCATAGAAGGGAGTGGCATGAATGCCGCTCCCTCCTCAGTCAATACGCGTGCATTCCTCTCCTTCCAGTCCATTCGGGTGACTGGACCCTCTACTCCCAGTCCATCCACGTACACTGCTCTCTTCTCAGTCCGCCCACCTGCATCCCCTTCATCTCTCTGATGTACCCCTTGCATCAACCCCAGTGCACCGCCTGCACCCCTCTCCCCCAGCTTGCACCCACCTGCCCCAGTTTGGTCTGCACCCACCTGCCTGTCGACCGCCAGCGGGTCGCTCTCTGCGGCCGCCCTCGGCGCCAGCAGCAGCAGCAGCAGCAGCAGCGGCGGCGCCATCAGCGGGGAGGGTCCGGCCGGGGCGCGGGCGCCGGTCGCCATATCTCTACCTCCAGCGGGGACCGGGGCAGTCCGAACCGAGCTAACACGGCGCTGGAGTGCGACTGGCGCCGGCCGCGAGGGGCCGCACTCGCCCGCCGGCGGCGACTTTCGCCGGCGGCGGGCGACGGCGCCGTCCGGCCTCGCTCGTCGAACACGTCGAACTCTGCTGGGCTGCAGCGTTGTGGCAGCAGGGGCGATGGGTTTGGGGATTTAAGGCGCGGGAGGGTGCGTCGGGCCAGCGCCGATCGAGCCTGGGCTGGACCTCGTGCGTATTTGCGTGACTTGTCAGGGCTGTGATGACGGGGTCAGAATGAACCGGGACGTGGACGACAGCTGAGCGTTGGACTCGACTGGTAAGGGCGATTTGTTTGTTATATACTGAATTTGCTGATCAGTTCGGCGCCATGCAAACGATCGCCCAGCTGGTAGACATGTGGATGGCACGGGTAAAATGTACAGCGCCATGGAGAGGCCGCTGGTCTGGCGTGCGACCCCAGCCGGAGTTCGTGCTGCTGGTTTAGAATCGCGAGCGATCAGTTGTGTGTCCTTCATCACCAAAGGACCCCTTACGGAAGGAGTGCAGGCTCCAGTACTGCGCGTCCCATCTCCTTCCGTTTTTGTTAGCACGATATTCATGCCCGACTTTCTCGGCCCAAGTGGGGCCGAGATTCATCGTGATGATACCCCAACCGTTGCCGAGGCCCGAGCCGGCGGCCCCAGGTGGCCGAGCCGGGAGCCGTTACCGGGGCCCGAGCCGGCAGCCTCAGGTGGCCGAGCCGGGAGCTGTTGCCGGGGCCCCTGCCGGCAGCCCCAGGCGGCCGAGCCGGGAACCGGAGCCGTGACCGGGCCGGTACAGCGCTGCACGTGTGACCGCCGTGTGGCAGACCCTGCGAGCGTCTAGCCACTGCCCGCAGACGGACGAATTCGCGTCCCTGAGACAGCTCATTTGATTCGTTATTGGCGGCCTGCTGGCAGGTGACCGAGAGAGCCAAGACTGGCTCGGGGCGGTTGCGTCGTGGTATTGAGCGTCATGTACTATCATGACGTTACAGGGCATATTGCAATATCTGTTAACTTTTTTCTTCGAACTGAAACTGCCCCGCTGGTGTGATTTAGTCATGGTCCTCGCAACAAGCTATGTTTAGAAAGTATTGAGATCTTGAAGACAACTGCAAAACGTTTGATCACAGTTTTGTCCAAGTTGAGGTCAACCAGATCTTAGGATTACGCTCCTAACAGCCTCATTAGCGGTTGTGAGTGTTTTTTCCAACGTCATTCCAACCTGCTTAGAGGCATAACTCCTCGCAACAATCCTTCGTGACAACTGGAGAAACGTAGTTAAGAAGTACAATCCCATTGTCAACTGGTCTTGTGGCGTTTGATAACGACGAGCTAAAAGCAGCCCAAGTCAGCTGCTAGCTTTTCACTTTAACCTTAAAAACCTGCACGTGCATGGCAACCTCAAAAAGGACTTTTTCTCACCCCGGCTGTCTCCCGGCTCATGGAAACTAAGTTCAGCATGTTTAGGCCCGTGTCGGGAGACGATCAATGCAGTTGGCCGGGGGCACACGTTCCTGACCGAACGCTAGGCGCCGCAAAATAAACCCTTCATGTAAAACTTTACCACCTAAAATGCTAGGCAGTGGTTTTAAGTGTTCCGGAAGTTTGTTGACAGGCAAGTACGGTCGGAGTAGTTGCAGCCTGATGCTTAGTTAAATATGACGTTCCTGGGTATGAAAAGAAAACATTTCTCAGACCAAACTTATAGAAAATATGGACCCCATCTCACAACGTTAAACGGCTTCCATATTTCGATAAAATAAGGTTCAGAGCGCTTCTTTAGCCGTATGCGGCGATATCAGAGCAGCCTGCGATGAGATGCTGGCAGCCTGTGACGAGGTGACGGCGGTCTGAGCGAGACGTCGACAGCCCGCGGCGAAATCCGGGCGGCTGCAGGCGGACGAAGCGGCGACACCGCCACCGCCGTAACCTCAGCCCCGTAAAATGCTGCGATGACTATGTGGGCTGCCGTCATTAGTCGGAGAAAGAGTCGGGAGCCGCCGGCGCCGGCCAGTGGCGCGGGACGAGCTGTCACGCTCAGCCGTGGCCACTGCGGCGCACGAGGACGAGGGGCGGAACGAGCCGGGCCGCGCCGGACCCCGCTGGCGTGAGGGCGACCGGCCTCCCGCCAGCCGGCGGCGGCAGATGAGGCTGGCGGGGAGCGGGGGGGGGGGGGCGGGGGGGGGGGAGCGAGGGCACTCGACTGGACCGTGGGAGACTGCCTCGATACCACGCCGGCCGGGATGGTCGAGCGCGGAGATGATGAGCAGCGGCGGGGTCACGCGCGGCCGAGGTGGCCGCTGCGCACCAGACCGCGGCGGGGCCGCCGCGCGAAGGACATGGCCCGAATGAAATGAAAGCTGAACACAGTTCTGTTTCAGGCCTCTTTTCATAACGCCGAAGGCCAAAACCCGGCGTTATACCAGCCGTATCTTACAACCGTGTCGAATCATCAGCCCAGGCGTGCCTAATGCAGACTAATAATCACAATGGACGTAATCGGGAATGCTCCACATTTGAAGAAATTGAGCAAGCATCAGATATGATGAAATAAGCTTGCTTATAACCACTGGTATAATTTGAAGTGGAAAGTACTGCTCTAAAGATCACAATTTCTCTGTTTAGTGAATACGTTACTCAGCACGTCATTGCCTGATTGGGTCATCGTACCTTGCACAACATTAATTGCAAGCCAATTGACAACCGTTATATCTGGAAATCGTGCTCATGAACGCCATGCATAAGCGAATCGACGATTATATTTTTACTGTCGTCGAACGCCGCATGACTTATAAAATGACAGGATCTGAATGACGTTATTATCGCGCCATAGATGTCTGGGTAACCTTGAAATAGCCCCAAACATAATCTGCAACATCCTTGCGGCATGAAGCTCAGAAATTGGAGAGGTTTAGGTCCTAAGAAGGGCATGACTGTGGACTGTACCAAATAATCTTCAAAATGGCCTTTTCGGTTCAAACCGCAAGTGGATGAAGAAGATGTTACAAAAAGTAAGGAAGATCGGTGGCGCAAAGCATGTGAACACTTCACCGACGATGTCTGAGTCCCAACTGCTGGATTGATTGGCTCGGGAGGCATTAACCAAAGAGTGAGGCAAACGCCAGCTGCTCCTCACACCGCACATAACATTGACAGCTGGCACCAGCAACAGACGCGCATTGTCGCACATAAGAATCAATTAACTTCCCTGAACCCCTGACACACATACGTTTTTTTCCAACTGGAAGCAGGGGCGGACCCAGAACTTTGTCAAGGGGGGGGGTAGGGCGGGCACGCGACATGTGCCCCCCAGAGTCAAGGGTTCGGCCAAAAATCCTTTTCCGGCCATTAAATATAGAGATTCTTAGCATCCTACTTTTATACGGGAACCCATCTAATTGTGCGCAGCCCTAGAAAACTAGGCGCGCTACGTGTGCACATACATGGAGCTTATTCGCTTTCTTCAGACCGTGTTGAATCCTGTTATTTTGAGGATAGGTCCCTCGGAAAAAGACGTGGCAACATAAACTAAAGCTAGCTGCTAAACACCCTCAAAATCAAGCACGAGCTTGATTGCTAGCTCATTTGCAGGTAGCCCGCTGGTCGATATGATCAGCTGATGGCTGATGATTACTGCATAGTTTTGCCTTGCTTGTTATGCAGGAGTAAATCATGTATTATCATTTAACATTTATTGAGAGCGTGATGCACAAGCATAAAAGGTGTCAAAATTTCACTAGCCAACAGAGATGGCGCATACGACGTTGGCGGCACGTGAAAACATGTTCGACAACTGTGCCTAAAAATTCATTGGCACATATCCGGCCGCTGCTCTAAGGCTACGGCACCAAGACCAACAGCGACGAAACGTGAGCAATCAAGGCCATGGGTGCCGCGGCATGCCAGCTTAGAGATTCCCGTCAACAAGTATAGAGTCCCCAGAGCGAGCGAGAATGGCCCAAGACCGGCGTGGTGTGCCCCTGAACGACTGGGACTGCCCCGGTAGACTGGCATGCAGGGCCTCGGCCACAGCGCCCTCTGAGCTAGGGAGAATTATCTACGACCAGTGGGCGTGATAATGCCCCGTACGATCAACAGTGGCCAAGTAGGTTAACAGAAAGGGTCCCGATAGAAGTGAAGGGTCCTCCGCAAACGAGATCAAAGGGAAAGAGCCCTAGATCAATGTAGAAGGCCCCTGAGCATCGAGTGGCTCCGTAACTTACCTTATATGGACCCCAACAACAGCACAAGGCTCTCCGGTCAAGTGGAAAGAAACCGAGACCAACGTGAAAGGCACCTGAACAACTGAGTGTGCCCGGCATGCGGGACCCCGGCAAAAGCGTATAGAGCCCTTCAGGAGAATGGAAGGAATCCCTGGAGACCCCTTCTTGATCAAGAGTTCCCAGGCATGTTAGCAGATATTGTACCAACAGCATCGTAGGGGCCTACGAAAAAACGCAAGATCAAGGGCAGCGTGGAGGACTCCTTGGCCATCTAATTGACCAGGCAAGTGGATATGTAGGGCCCCGGCAGCAGAGTAACGCCTCTTGACAGTGTAATGAGCTTCAAACTGTCCTCCAACCATCACCATCTCAATCAGTACAAAATTAACGTTGTCTGCTCACAGGCTCTTCACTTTCACTCGCGTCTGTTCTTGGCCGTCTTGAGGCCCAGAGACGTCCAATCTTGTCATGTTTTGTCTGAGAAAGCTGCGCTCGTTCGGTCGGCCATGAGCTCCTCCGGAGGCTGTGGATCCTTACGGGGCACGATAGCGGCCTAGTTCGGTGCCCCCATTCCCCCTCCTCTGGATTCACCACTGGCCCCAGCAGCTTTATAGATAGGGCCCGGCGAGAACATGGGGCCACCCACCCAAATAAAAAGTGCCCAAGACACAATATGGAGGGTACAGGAATGATCGAGTGTGCCCGAGCAGGTTAACAGGTATGGTCCCGGCAAGGGCGTGGTGCCCTGCAC